GATCGCCTTGTGGTCCAAGGGACTCGCAGGAGTCTCCTCCAGCACCACAATTCAAAGGCCTCAATCCTTCGGCGCTCAGCCTTCCTTATGGTCCAGCTTTCACAGCCATACATTGCAACTGGGAAGACCATAGCCTTGACTATACGCACTTTTGTTGGCAGGGTGATGTCTCTGCTTTTTAGTATGCTGTCTAGATTTTCCATAGCTGTCCTCCCCAGGAGCAAGCATCTTTTAATTTCTTGGCTGCAGTCCCTGTCTGCGGTGATCTTGGAGCCCAGGAAAATAAAATCTGTCATATACAATGCCCATTGCCAGCCAGCTAATTTCCAAGAGCAATTACTATGTTTTTGCTTCAAGGTGGTTCAATAAAATCTCTGTTTTGAAAAGAGCTGTGCATGTGTTCTTTTCTATTTATTGCAGATACTGTAATGTGTCATGACCAAAATTCAACAGTCCCTTAGACGGGCATATTTCTGAACATGATCTGAAGTTGTCACCCCTTTTTTCCACTAAGATGTTTTCGGCTATACAGTAGTAAGGCTATACAGAGAGCTAATACATGCCAATCAGACCTTTTGTTGATCTAGCTCAGTGTTACCTTCCTTGACTCCTCAGTCTCTTTCCTGTCTTGATACCTGAAGTCCTTTAACTGGAAGGGTCCCACATTATAACTTTCTAACACGGGATTTTTGGAAACCTACGAAGAGCAACATACTTTGAAGAAAACTCGAGAACAAGAAGAAACCCAAAATCAGCTCATACTTTCTGGAAATATCTAAACTTTCAAGCCACACAGTGCTCCATACCCTTGTAACTTTTTGAAAAGCATTGTACGTGAAGCTAGCTATGCAGACTCCTCAGAAATTTTGCTTGGTATCAGATGCAGCTGCTACGACCAGGTACAGAAAATGCAGTGTCCTGCAGAAGCATACACCCCTGTTGGATTGCTCCACATTTTGTTGTGTAGGTCTTCTTCCTGCAAGGAAACCGAGGCAGCCTACATAGATCTCCTCCATTCTGTTTTTATCCTAACAGCAACGCTATTTTAACTGCTAATGGTTTATTTGCTGCTTTCAAATTGGCCAGGCTGTGTCCACTATTTTATGTATTTTATTTATTTGATGATATATTTTTTGGTATTTTATGTGGGATTTTATGATTGTAAGTCGCCCCGAGGCTCATGCGATGGGGCGGCATATAAGTTGTTTAAATAAATAAATAAATAAATAAATAAACAAACAAACAAACAAACAAACAAACAAATAAATAAATAAAGCACCCTGTGAAGTAGGTTAGCCTGAGAGTGAGAGACAAGCCCAAAGTCACCTAGTGAGCTTCATGGTGGAGCAGGGCCTGGAAACAGGATTTCCCAATTCCCAATCCTACATACTAACCACTATGTCACACTGGCAAGCCATTATTAAGAGCAATTTGTTAAGTTTCTCCACCTGCTCAACACTTTTTTTCCTATGGAGAAGGACATTAAGAGGCAGCGACCGTAATTATGGTTTGTCAATTCAGAAACAATGGCACAGAAATCACTTCAAACACTGATTGACTCTGGCTTGCAGTCTGATCACAAAGCATGCTTTGTCTGGTGTGATGTCAAAATTGAGTCACATTATGTGACTAAACTGTCTGCCCCAGATAAATCAAATGCTTCTGACAGAAGTCAACATTTACGATGCTCTTTTGTGCAGCCCATAAGGAAATTCTTTTAGACACTAACATATAAAAATAACAAACGAAACTGACAATACACAATCAGCGAGAGTATTTTACCACATTCCTCATTGTTTGCGTCCATTTTTGGACCTAAAACAATAGACAGTTCAATTTTTCACAATTCATATTTAACTAGCTGGCTGCCTATTTTTCATTACACAGCAACTGGGTGCCACTAGCTTCACCCTTTCCAATACTTATTTAGGGTTGATCACATAGTCAATAAGGATGAAGGCTATAATCCAAAGTCTTTTTGACTTCAACAATGAGATCACAGAGTAGTATCTTATAGATAAACCCAGAAGTTTGCTAACCTTCAGTAAAAAAAAACAGCTCAACTGCTAGCCTAAAACTAGTTTCTCCTTCTATTTCAGGGCATATTAAAATTCCCCACAATGCCTCACTGACACATTGCTGGGTTTTATGTAAGTGGGTTCTGAGGCACACTATATACAACATTCCAACTAAATCCACAGAAGTTACTAGTCTGCACGAATTGTTAGGAGTCTACCTTCCTAAATGTGCCTATCGCTGTTATTTGAAGGAAATTAGTATTCTGAAAGGGGTGAAAAAAGAGGAGCCTACTTTTCTTTTCCTAGAGACAGAACTTGGCCACTTTCCTGCTATGCTTACTCAGCACAGGTAACTGGGGAATAGCTATTTACACTTCGGGTTCCTTAGCACATGTGCCAATACGGTCGTATGCCAAGTTGTACTGAATTCTTCCAAAGCTATTTTAATGCCACCAGACTTTTAACTCAACCTCCCAGCAGCCTACTTTTCAGGCAAGATGCTAACAACAAGATATGCAGGACTCGCCTCAAACCAACCAGTACGCTCAAGACTGTCCAAAAGTTCGGACCTAGTTTTATTTCTACATGACAGCCCCTTGGGCCATTTACTCATGTGCAATACTGCTGCAAAACTACCTTGGTGCACTCAAGCAGTCAAATGTCCTGCCAAAAACCAAGCATTATTTCAGCACCCGGCTCCTCTCTTGCGAACTGCTTAGGAAATCACAGAGCTGCGGCATTTGCTCAAACTGTTTCTATCATGCGATGTAGCAGAGACAGAGCTGCCTGAAAGGAAGGCAAGTCTTTGTGCTCAAAAGCAAACAGATGAAAGACAGCAGACGGATGCTCAATTCCTCACCTTCTTGAGAAGAGACGATAGGTGGCATGTAATCGGGAATATACTCTTTCCTCTCTTCCGCATCTTTGCTTCCAGGCTGGGGGAACTGCAGGACATTATTCTTGCTGACAGGGAATGCGGGGATTTGATGTGCAAAAGTGACTGGCTCTATGTTGAGGATGTAATCTTCCAGTTCATGCAGGCTGACCCCCATAAGCTTGAAGGCTTCACCTACGTCCTCCAAAATTGGATCTGTCCGGCCATCTAGAACAAAAATGCATTAAAATAGGGGAAAAACCCTAAATGAAAGGGTTTTGAAATAAGCAATACATTCACCTACTGAGTATATAAATGGTTTCATTTACATGAGATCCTATGCATGCGTGGATGGAAACAAGTCCTACATCTCCCAGGATTCTCCAGTCAGCCATGCTGGGAGTTGCAGGATTCTTTATTCTGTCTAAATATGCATAGAACTGCACACTTGCAGTTTTTTTTTTCAAGTAAAGCAATGTATAACTGCCTGAAACAATCTGTGTTACTTCCTTGCTTGGGCGTTGACTAAGAATGTCAACATAATTTTTCAGCTTCCATAGAGTATACCGAAACATCCAATGCTATGCCATGGCATTTTTTCTAATGCTGGGTCAGACATTACAAGGTATATCCATCAGACACAGTGAAACTACAAGGTCCCATATGTTCTCAGAGGTCAAACCTAGGCTGCCAAGAATGCCATAAGCAGGTCAGCATATCTTTGCTCAACAAGGAAGGAGATGATGAGGGGAGGCCTGTGGTGAGCGGGAAACTTCCCAGTCCCCTTATCACTCAAAATATGTTTGGGTGAAAGAACACGGAATGTGGATCTTGTTCCTTGACACCTCTCAGCTATCTCTGGCCAAGTTTATCTAAGCAGTCGCTCCTTCTCCAAAGCCAGCTAATCCAAACAGAGGCCTTGCACCAGAAACTCAGAACTTCTACTGAAGTTCTGCGCCATGTGACTAGGATTGGGTGGATCAAGAGCAGGGACAGGGCCACCGGTCCCACCATCACATCTGCTACAACCTGCCATCACCAACAATGCACTGGAGAAAGGACTAAAGAAGGAAGCCTGTTCTACATGCAAAACCCACTCCTTCAGTTCAGAAGTCTGCACTATGGGGATGGGGGACTATGCATGGAGGTCTTCAGGCCTTCCTCCAATACATCGACTGTGGGAGAGGAATGGGACAAGCAAGGAGCACAACAGTGGGGCGACCCCACTATTTCGCTCTAAGCACAGCAGCTGAATAAGCTACTTGAGGTACATTAACAGAACAAGATTACAAACAACCACTGGGAGCGACAAGAAGCTTCCTCAGGAGTGTTTGGAAAACAGCACACTGCCTTATGCCAAGTCAGACTGCCTGTCAATCTAGCCCAAAGCTCTCTACTCTGATGGGCAGCTTCTTTCCAAAGCCTTAGTCAAGAGTCCTTTGGCTTCACTTGCCTGATCCTTTTAATTGCATAGGACACAGACTGAATCTAGGACCTGCTGCAAACAAAGTTTGCAGCAGATCCACCAAGCAATACCATCAAGAAATATTCTTGGTCTGTTTCTTCTTGCTATGCATTTCCACATTAAACTATAGAACAACAATTTCAAACAACAAACAAGGGAACTGCACAATTGATTTCAACAGGATCTCGCAGATTATACTACAGAAGGAAAAAACCCCATCCATTCAAATTTCCTAGACAGTGAGAACAAACATTCCAAGAAAGTTACTGCTATAACATTCCTGCTGCACAGGGTTATCTTCCCAAACAACAAAACCATGTCTATTTTTCTTGTTATGTCTGTGGATGCCCATACACTCCCTTTCACTCACTTTTGTGAGGCTGCCACATCTGGGCCACTCACTATCATTACAGCTTTGTTCCCCAAAAGGTAGAGCCCTAGCATTAGCACTTATTTCCACCAATGGAGTGCCAAGTTCTGCCAGTTGCTCCTACTGCAATGGCCAAAGCTGTTTCCATCTTTCTAACAACCCTTTTCAATTCTCCCTTATCAATGATTCCACCATCCCCAGAGCTACACATTCCCCAACCCCAGAACCAGCCCAACTAATCCTCTTCATCCCTCAAACCCACACATCGAGCCCTTGCTAACCTGCAGGCTCACCAGCAGAGGGCAAATCTATACCTTCCTGGCAGTAACTGACATCTCAATCTCAAAACACAGGCGACTATAAACACTGGCTGGACGGAGCTGCCACTCAAAGTTTGGGGCCATCAGAGACTCTACTCCTCCCTGGGGTCCAGCGCAACTGGGGAGCGCACCTCCGCCTCTAAACAGGGAAGGGGGCAAGTTCCAATCATCCGCCACTTCCTAACTGCTATAGAGAGAAAGGATGCACGGTGCGGCAGCTGGACCTGTGCCCCTCTGACATAATTACCCAACCCCATCTTCTCCCAGGCCCATGCTATTGCTCAGTGGCCTTGGCCAGGAGCCCCTGTTCAGCCCTTCCTCCAGAAGAGTTGGCGTGCAACCACCATCAAGCCTCGCCGTGGGGTGTGCTGGGTGAGGATGATGGGAGCTGAGGTCCAGCCACAGCCGGAGGACCACACAACCCCCTGTCCCCGATGTATACCACAAAGGACCCCCACACTGCTGGCGGATCCACGCGTCTCTCCTCACGCTACCCATCTCCAGGACGACCCCCAGCGACCCTCCGCCCGACCTCGCGGCACTCCCCAGCCACATGACAGCCCCGTCCCCATCGCCTCTCCGCCCCGACAGCCCCGCGGCCCCTCCCCACGGCAGCCCCGGGCCGCCACACCGCTGCCCGGACGGCCCGCTGCCCGCCCCCCAGGCCCCCCGGGCGAGGGGGCCCGTCGCCGCGGCAACCCGCCGCCCCGCCGCACTCACAGAGCTCGCAGTAGCGCCGGCAGCCGCGGCCCAGCGAGTGCAGGTAGCGCTGCAGCACGTCGGTGAGCAGGTCGCACGCCGAGAGCTGCACCGCGTCCCAGCCCAGCGCCTGGCACACCTGCGCCACCGACACGCGCAGCAGCCACCGCGAGTAGCTCTCGCACATCCTCGCCGCTCGCCGGCTGGCTGGCTGGCTGGCTGGCTGGCTCACCGCGCCCCGGCGGCCCCCGCCGCCATGGCCGAGCGCGCCGCGCACCGCGGCCGGAACGCGACGAGGCCGGAGCGGCGCCCTCACGCCGGAGCCGCCCCCGCCATCTTAGGTCGCCGGGGCAGGCGGCGCTAGCCGAGCCCCGAGCGCGTCGATGCGGCCGCGCGGGCATCGACTCCGCCGGCATCGACTCGCCAGGCGGGCAGGGCGCCGCCCCCTTTCGCGCCGCGGCGGCGCCGCTCTGCGCGCGGGCGCCTTCCGGGGCCCCGTCGGCCGCCGCCGCCGCGCCCTGCTTCCGTGCAGGCCCCATCATCCGCAGCCGGCCGCCCCCATCACCCGCCGGCAGCAGGCCCTTCCCGCCCACTGGTCCCCGCAGAGGGGCCAGGGCGCAACCGGGCGTGTTATCCCAGCCAGCGCGCAGGAGCGAAGGATGGGAGATGGAGTGCGGTGCGTCTGGAGGATCCCCAGTAGGAGATGGCTGCCAGGCTGTCCGGGTAGCATTCAGCATTGCTCTGGGTCTTTCTGCGGCCCTTTTCCCTCTTGTGAGACCCTCAACACGGCTGCATTTTATCTTCACAGCGACCACCCTGCGAGGCAGGCTGGCCAGCGCCTCAGTGGCTGCCCCCGAGTCACCAGTGAGGTTCGTGGCCGAGTGGGGACTAGAACCCGGTTCTCTGCGCCCCCAGGCCAGAATGCTAACTGCACTGCCTCTTGGGGTGTTGGTTTTCGTCCCCTCTAGTATTTGGTGCCCAGTAAAATTACTTCCACCTTTACAGGGTTTTATTTATTTATTTATTTATTTATTTTTCGATTTATATCCTGCCTTTTTCTACAAAGGGCTCAAGGCAGCTTACATCTCCTCCTCCATCTTATCCCCACAACAACCCTGTGAGGTAGGATGGGCTAAGAGTCTGTGACTGGCCCAAAGTCACCCAGTTGAATATCTTGTGTACATTAGGTGGTAACAAGGCCAAGTTCTGTCACTTCCAGGTTGAGAGCTGCTGTGTGGTCAAGTGTTAGACTGAGCACCTGTGAGATCCATGGCACGGAGTGACTTTGGGTCAGCCAAGCTCAGGCTGACCTACCTCACGGGGTTCTTGTGGCAAGGATAAAAATGGGGTGGAGGAGCATGTAAGCGGCCTTGCTTTCCATGCAAGAGGAAAAACCGTGTGGCTTAACAAGTGTGTTAATTATAGTGCAATCAAAGCGGACACATTGAGTGGATGAATACTTCTGCAAGGCACTGTGTAAAGTATAGCTGTTCCCCGCTGGTCACCTAGCAGCTACGCTTTTTACTAACTGAATGTTTTATCAAATCCTGACGTGCTTCACAGGACTACGATGAGGATTAACTTGAAAGGAGAAACATTTTCCTTGCAAGAGGAAAAAATGCAGGCTATAAAATAATGAATAAAATGTTCATCCAGCTCCATATGACAAGCAAAACTAAACCTAGGTCAGCCTTCCCCAGCATGGTCTGCTCCAGATGTTTTGGTCGGAAGCTCCCACAGGCCCTTGCCAGCATGACCAACAGCCAGGAATGCTGCGCTTGGTAGTGGGATGCATTTGGAGAGCACCTTGTTGGGGGAAAGGCAAACATCGCATGGGTAAACATGCTAGACCTTCTTTTCTTACATCTTTCCCTCAGCGGATCATCATCCACAGGTTTGAGTCGAGGATACAGATGGCATTCAGCTCTACCTTTCATGCCTATGTATACCAGTTGCTGGGAACATGGGGCTGCTGTTACACTCCTGTCCTGCAGAGTTAGCTGGCCATTGTGTGAACAGAACACTAGACTAGGTAAACCCTGGGTCTGACCAAGAAAGTGCTTATTATGTTCTCATTTGCATCTATTCATGGCAGCAGTGGAAGTCCTAAACTGGTACCTGGAGAAAGCTGGGGATAGCTAAGGGCAAACCAACTGAAACTTAATCCAGACAAGATGGAAGTAGTAGAGATGCTAATACTGACATGGCATTGTTCAGGCAGTATTTCTGTTCTTTGAAATTGTTTAAAGCTTTCAGGGTATAAACATATGGATGCTGTGTCAGAAAAGTGTCTGGGGAATGCTGGGAATTGTAGGCCCCTTTTTCTGCCTAAGCATGCACGGGATCAAACCCTGAGCTCCCATTAAATTGCTAGCTGAACTGCAACCAACATAACCCAAGCCTTGTTACCTGCCAGGGCCCTTGCTCCATCACTGCTATGTAGCTTGTGAACTTCGGAGCAGAGTGTCACTCATGGTTTGTTGCTCTGTCGAGCATCAGACTAAGCTGTTACAACGGCAAATTTGAAATGTAAGCCCCTGTAATTGCTGTCTAGTCAAATCTTTGCTGACCCTTGGCTATCATACACGTGTGCGCACACAACACCCCATTGCAAATACAGACATTTGTTTCTGGCGAGATCCACTTCCTTGCAGCTACAATTAAAATTGCAGTTCAGTTTAGAGGGAGGAGTGTTATGTAAGGCATGGCAGATGAGAACATTATCCTGCTAGTCACACAGTGCCAGCCCTTTGACCCTGCAAAACTGGGATCCATTATTCTACTGGCTGCAGGAGTTGCACCCTCGATTACTAGAAGTCCCCATATTTGGAGGCCTATGGTAATCCAGTGTGAAGGAGCAGCAGCAGACAGTAACTTTGCCTCTGCATTTTGCACTAAATGGACTTTGTCATCCATCTAGCTGGGATATTGCAGTGCAGGGCACAGGGAAGCTTTAGGGTAGCTCTTATCTTGGCCTCCCTGCCCACCAGTATGTCCGTTTTTCCTTCCTCTCCAGGGAAACTTTCCTGGCAGCCAGCAGTGGAAGGGGTCCGTTCTTCCATTTTCTCCTCTGAAGTCAGGACACAGGGAATCTGAGCTTTCCTATCGCCCCTCAGATCCTGACTAGGGGCCAAGAAGTGCTCCCTTTAAAATACAAAAAGCAAGCCCTGGAAGGGAAGCTAAATCAAAGGGGTGTAGCTGTGCCTCTTCTGAAACACTGATGCATATTATGCAGGTTAGTTTATCCCAGCCTGCCTGCAGGTTCCCCAGACCTGAAGTTTTCCCATTTAATCCTCAGAAATGCCTATGTGATACTTGAAAGACTGGTCCAAGTCAGTAAGCTTCCGGGCTGAGCTGGGATTCATCTGAAGCACCGCAGCCCAATACCATATCCATCATTAGTACCTTACCTTCTCTCTACCATTCCAGGCTGCATAATGTTCAGTTAAGTACAAGAGATGAAATACTCTTGAATTTTTTTGTAGCCTAAAGCTGAAAGAAACTTCAAGCTAAGCTCAAGAGAGCTTTAATGGCAAGAACACAAATACAGCGTTTTTAAGGAAGCTCATCTCTTTCATATGCATGCAAAACCAGCAGCAATAGCAGTGTTGGGCAGCTTTGGCAGTGAACGGATCCAATTCCCTCTCTTCAAGACAGAGTCTTAATTTTCCATGAAGGATTATATTTTTTTAACTAATATTTTAAAAGGGGCAGAGGTTCGCCAAGACTCCCCCCTCTCCTTAGCTATCAGTATCTGCCGGCAATTTCCCGTTTTCCAAGCCAGTTAAAAAGCTGGGCATTTGTCCCATTTTAAAGCATGCCTGGGCTGGAACAATTTCCTTCTAGCTTGAATTCTGCTTTGAATCCAAGTTTAGGGGCAAACCTGGGGAAAAACATAATCTCTCACAATTGGTTTAATTAATGACAGAAGGCAGCAAATGGATGCATTGAAGAGGGAATTAGTCTCATCTTGGCCAACATTACAATTGCTTCACCTATGACAGATGTCCTGACGTTTGCAGAGATGGTAAACCTTGGTCTAAGCTATTCCACTTGAAACTGCAGGGGAAGAGGTTGCCAAGCAAAAAAACGAAGCAAGACGAAACCCTATGTGCCCAAAACCAGCGTGCCAGGGTGAAAACCTAGCCTTATCTCCAACATGCTAATTTTCTGGGTACTTTTTTCTGGGTAAGCATTGATTCTCATCACGCTCTCGCTGTCCTGGTACAGCCCAGACACTGGGTAATAGATCACTAGGGCTCAAGTTCTCCAGAGGACTAACAGCACTGAAGCACGCTGCGAATTCCCTATCCAAACTAGGCAAGCTATACACATGCTAGTGAGACATAAGCACAACCCTGTCTAGCTAACTGCAAACAGTGCTTGGCACCCGAACACATTGCTCAGAACTGCCCCCTTAGACACATGCCTAAGTGCCACCAGTGCATTTCACAACAGGTGTGTAGCCATCATCTCCAAATCCTAGTTTTGAGTGTGCTGTTGGTTGAAGTTGTGCATCTGTGAAACAATCCTCAGCAGCTCTTCGGTAACTCACCCTGCCGAACAGGATCGCAAGTGCAGGCACGGAGATGGGAGAAGCACCAGATCCTTAGCTGGCGTACTAGTTCGGACGTTAACAGCAGCTTTGCCGCTGACAGCTAATGAGAATCAGAATCACTTCCTGCTACAGAGAAAACATATCCTAATAATTTGGGGGTGGGGGAAGGGGAGAGATGGGTTTTTGTGCTTGACACACAAGCAGGAACTTAAGTTATTAAACTTAGAGAACTTGTCCCTGAAGCCCTGTGGGACATACTCCGCCCTCTTTTACAAGGAACATAGCCCAAGCTGTTTTATTTAGTACATGGGAAAGATGAGACCATGCTGCCACCGATAGCTACGCGTACAGATTGACTTCGCACACACGGAGTCAAATGCCTCCTATTGTTATGGCACGTGGCCTTGGACAAATCTCTCAGCCCACCCCTACTGTAAAATGGGACTCCTGATGCACCTCAAAGCTGCAGGACAAAGCATGCTACAAATACTCTGAATGAATGAATGTTGCGTGAGAGAGACTTGCTATACCAACGCAACATGAAAAGGGCAACATCACTTTCAAACAAGTCTGTTTTGCAGTTCAAGGACTTGAAAATAACCCTTTTTTCACACCGCCCTTTGTGATCAAGGGTGGGAAGCTTTGCAGCATGGAGATGCTATTTTCCCCATGGAAATCAACAGGAAACTCCTAGAGGCAATGGCAAACGGCTAAAAGCAATCAGCTGAGCTGTTCAAGCTAAACTGGATGTCTTTGCAACCTGCAATGCTAACATCACCATTTCACCCTCGTTATGGCCGAATTCGGTATGTTGTCCACCTCTGCATTATATTTTTATTCCCCATATAACAGTGGAATAACTAACCCCAAGTTTACATTCAACAATTATTACATGGCATCATTTAAGGCACAATCCTGTACATGTTTACTGTGGAACGTTAGGCGGTATAGGCCCTTTTTCTGTCCAAATATGCATAGGATTATGACCTAAATCTATTGGCATCAGAACAGTCCCCAAACCGTTTCTCAAAGTTCAGTTCAGCTCCTATACAGGAAATGCTCTGGAGGTTCTGCCCAATAATTTCTTTTTTAATACAGCTACCCAGAAACACTTCCCTTAACTTGCATCCTAGTCCAACCAACTCCACGTTCACATACCGAAAGCGGCACGCGTAGCTCTTTCATGTAGGGCTTTTATTGAAATATGCTTTACAAACAGTTGGGGTTCTTTGCCTGATTTTTTCCCCACAGAATGACAGACCAACAACCATTTCTCTCTGGGAAGGTAGGATGAATTGCTTGCCAGAAGAGCTTCTCTTTACCTATGAACAAAAACTCTGAGTTAGTTTTAAACATTGGTCTAAGTGAATCTGCTACTCTTAGAACTTTTAAAATGTCTGCAGTCCTTAAATTGCTTCCCATTTCAAGCTTCTGCCACTGGCAGTTTAGAGGTGCTGCTGTCTGGACCATCTACTGCAGGATCAATATTCCACAGCGTTAGACATGATCATTGTTCTGTACCAGCATTCCCTTTATATGATGCCTTCTGGATATGATGGGCTACCGCTCCCACATTCCCCACACACCCAACGAGCATCAGGCTGGGAAAAATCGGTCCATTTGATAAGCCCAGCAATATTCCTCCAAATTTCACTTTCATCCTTCAGCTCATTAAAATAAGGATGCAAATTTTAACCAATTATCCTAATTAAATTGTTTCAGTACCAGCTCAAAGCCATTTTCCTTATTTCAAAATTGCCTGACATGTTTTATCTGCCCTATTGTACTTGCTGCATTTTTTGCTTAGAATCATAGAATTCTGTAACGCGCTCTACGTGGGGCTGCCCTTGGAGATGGTCCGGATACTTCAGTTGGTTCAAAACAGAGCTGCCAGGCTGCTGACGGGGACTGGGTGTTATGTTCACATGACTCCAGTCCTCCATCAGCTTCACTGGCTTCCCATTGAAGTCCGGGCCCAATTCAAGGTGTTGGTGATGACCTATAAGGCCCTAAACAGCTTGGATCCTGGTTACCTAAAGGAGCGCTTACGTCCATATATGCCCGCCTGCCCCCTGAGATCTGCGGGAGAGGCCCTTCTCCGGGAACCCTCCGTGAAAGAAATTAGGAGGGTGAGTACTCGGACGAGGGCTTTCTCTGCGGTGGCGCCCAATCTATGGAATGCGCTCCCCAGAGAGGTCCACCTGGCACCGTCGTTATTTGTTTTTCGGCGCCAGGCGAAGACCTTTTTATTCAAATGTCATTTTAACTGTTAATAGTATTTATTTATTTTATTCTTTGGCCAGGGCGACTTACTTTATACTGTTAATTTATATTATTCTAATTGAAGTTATTTATGTTTGTGAGCTGCCCCGAGGCTTTGGCGAATGGGGCGGCATAGAAATGTTCTAAATAAATAAAAATAAATAGAATAGTAGAGTTGGAAGGGGCCAGGAAGGCTATCAAGTCCAACCCCCCTGCTGCTGCAGGACACCACATTACACCATTGATTACAATTGTGTTGTTCTAGAGTTTTATTATGTTTTGCATGATTTTCATCATACTCTTGTACGTGGCCCTTGTATCTGAAAGGCGGAAGGGCAATTTTAAAATGCTTTGCTAAGTAAAGCAAACAGCAACTTGACCCTCCACCATTAACATCCAAGTTTTCTAGAGAAAGCCTGCGGCTTAGCTGCATTGTCGGCTACACACCAAGCACTGAAATGCAACATACTGCATGCCATGCTAAGTGCGCACTTAACAAGCACTTCTAAACAGAGACATCTAAAAGTACCTTCATTATTACATTTCTGACACCTCCTTGTTCAACTTTGTCTTAATGCCTAACTTACAGAATCACTTTACCTGTTGACTTTAGATGAAACTCACTTTCTGTTTATTCCTTAGGTCCTAGTTGCTGAGTTGTTAAAAAAAAAAAAAAAAACAGAACAGGCAGTAAAGCATTAAGCAGAGAGAATTAAGGCAATTCAATTAGTGTGATTTAACCAAACATGCAACACAGAGCCAGAACACAGATGTGAACCTTCCAAGTTAAAATTAAGTTACAACATCAAATTAGCCAATGAAATGCATTGTTTAATGCTTCCATTAAAAGCAAAATGATTTTCCATTCCATGCAGAACATTCTTCTCCAGCGGAATGGCACTATTTCAGAAGCAAGGTGAAGAAGTGCTTTTGCCTTCTGTGGAGAACCTGATCCAAAGCTAAACTGTCATCCAGGTTTCTCAGGAAACAGATCTGCCAGGGGCAGAGGACTAATCTATGGAACTCACTGCCACAAGAGATAACCACCCACTTAGGTGACAGTCAGTGGCAATTAGCCATGGAGGTTATGAGGATGCTGCATGTTCAGAGACAGCATGTCACAGATAACCAAACTGCTGGGAAGCCAGAATGATTGAGGGCAGTCTTTTCCTGTTGAAGGCACCTCACCAGCCTGGGGATTAGCACGAATCTGGACATACTGAGAACGCAACTCTTTCAGCTGGTGGATGCATTCCATTTGGGAGACGCTTCCAGTCGGGGTGGGTAGGACCAAAGACAAAATGGAGTTGCTCAAAACACTCAAAGTCCTTGCTGCCAGTACCTAAGTCTCAGGTGAGACATTTCAACTTTTTAGAACGGAGGAAAAGCTGCACAAAAGCTAGGAAATTGTCTGAGGACTAGTGGCTGAGGGGAGGAGGGAGGCGGCGGCAAGCTGGCTACCAGGCCTCATGTTCTGCACCCCTGGCCTAAATGGACGGCTTTTAGTGTCAGCTCCATCCCTCCTCTGACATGAATACAGGAATGGGAGCTTTTGACGCAGCTGGGTTGAGCGTGGCGCAAGTGAGTATATGCAGAGAAATGCATGATGTATGAGCTTCCACTCAGGTAGGATGCAGAGAACCGTCTCCTCAGAACCGGTTCAGCAGCCACCACTGCAGCAGCTTTGGAATTAACACGAGCACCGAACATAACCATGCATCACTGGCGTTTGCAAAGCACAGCAGAGGAACCCACAAACTCGCTCTCACGTGTCCTCCCCAAGTCAACCACACCGACAAATGGCCCCAACAAGGAAACCCGCCTGCCGATACTTACAGGGCAGCCGCTCCGGAGATGATCTCAATTAGCTCCTTGGTGATGACAGCCTGGCGTGTGCGGTTGAACGTCAGCGTCAGCTTGTCAATCATCTCAGCTATGAAGAGAGATGGAGAGAGATGAAGTTAGGTTTGCAAGAATGCCAGCGGCTATTCAAAGATACCGTTTGTCCTTTATTTTGATTATCAAAAAGACCGCATTGCTTCGCAAAATACCTCACATCGTTTGCACAGAATGAAGCGTGGAGATGACCAGTTTTCTGACTATTGTGAATTGCTAAATATAAAACAGGACAACCTCAAGAACTCTGCTAACTATTGTTTGGCCTGAGCACTAATATTTACACTTTTTCATCCACCATCAAATAACTCTAGTTGCCCATTCCAATGCTTAAATATGCATGCAAACTATCCGTGAAGAAGCAAGTGTGTCAAGAGAAACAATTGACCTGATTCATCAGTGTATTGCCCTGAAAGATTTTACTCTATTGTAGCACAAGTTCTGTTGGCATGGCCATGCGTGTCAACAGCTGGTATTTGGCAACATACCGATACGTCCACCATGACAGACTAGCTAGTTTGGTTACTGGGTCTTCTGCATGGTCAGCAGTGTTCACGACTGACCACTGCTTCCCAACCTGGTAAGCCAAGCAGCTGTTGAGCCAGATTCTACATGCCTATTTTGCCATTCCAGTAAATCATAGGAGGATTCCAGGGTTTATAGTTTGCATCTGCCTCTAGAACAGGGATGAGTGCCTGGTACCCTCCAACTGTTGGGTTTCAACTCATGTCAGCTACAGTCAGTGCGGCCAACGGTTAGAAGAGATGGAAATGAGAGCACAACCCCTGAAGGGCACCAGATTCCTACCCAATCTGCAATACAACAAGCACATTTTTCATTAAGAGTGCCAAGCATCTTTCAATTTAAAGTTTCAGATCCTGTTGAATTTTCAGCCAAGACACTCTGCATTCGTGAGTAACATGAACAGCAGCAGAAGAAAAGCTAGTCCAATCAATACTAGAGTTGGGAAGCAGTTTGATTATATTTTAAGGGTCCAAATATTTGCTACTCCTCATGGTGCACTGCAGCCGAGAGTTCCTCGGCCATACGCGATGCAATCCTGGCCATGCTACTCCAAGCAAGCACAGCTCAGTTCGACAGGTCTGGCTCCCAACGGAGTGTGCATAAACCTGAAGCCTGTGAAGCAGGAAAAAAGCTCAAAGCCTTTCTGAAGCAGCAAGTCTTCTGGCCACTGCGTGGATACAATTTCGCTTCTGCTCCACTAAGAGTTTTTGTTTACATCTTGGCACCTTCTGCTATTACTAACTTTATTGCAGAACGCTGCAAGTATCACAGAGGTTTTCTTACAGGCATTTTTGCTAGCATTGTCCATGGCAGTCATTCTAGCGCTTTGCTCACTAGTGGTGGACTCCTTCAGCGAGTAGAAAATGATGTTGGCCAATGTAAATTCCTGATAGTTTCGCAGGACATCTGCATCAATGTCGTCATAGATACTAATGCTCTCTGCAAAGGAAACACAACCGCGAAAACAGCCGATTTATACACTTAACATTCAGCCGATATGGCAGCTCAAGATCAAGCACAGGTTCATTTGAATGTCATGGATTCATCACTGTCTGGGTGAGTGGCCAGGAGTAACTTCTGGCAATTCATGCTTGCCTAGCGGTTGGAGCCCTATCAGATGCAGCAGGACCTGGCATTGGGTACTCAAGCTCTAGTTATCTCCAGACCAGACCACTGGAATGACTGGTATGCAGAATTGCCACTGGATATGGTTTGGAAACCTCCGTTGGTGCAGTGTGGCTACGCAGATGCTAATGGCAGGCAGCATGAATATACAGCACCATTTTTGAAAATCCGCATTGACTACCAGTTTTTCTAGACTCAGTATAAAGCACGTCTGTTAACCCTGAGAACCCAAATGGTTTGGGACCAAGTTATCTTCCAATCCACATGCAACGATGCTGTTCATAAACTGAGATCAGGCCACAGGTTCTGTTAGGCTGACAAGCACATGATGCAAGGCAGTGTCCGATGTGGCCATGATGGACTTCCCAGTGAATTAACATTTACCTCTTCAGTTCCTGCATTCAAGAAAGGGTCTTCTCTCCACTACTGTATTTCCTTAAATGAAGAGTTCGATCGAAATGGTTTCTCATACACCTCTTTAGCTATGTTCACTTTTCTTATTACGGCACATTTCTATCCCACGCTTTTTCATCTTGTGAGGCACCCAAAGCAACTTTCTAGTTACAAATTCAGCCCAAGTGGAACTCCCCACAAGAGATGATGGCTAGATCTTTCTCTGTTGTCCTTCTGCCAGCAGGCCAAGTGAGTCTGTTGGTCTGGGTGCTTTTTATTATAATGACAATAAAACCATTGTATGTTTACCACATTTTAATGTATTTTCCTTTATCCAACTTTAAATTATACCTGTAAGCCACCCCAAGTCTGACTTGTTCCCAGAAAGGCAGCATACAAATCAATACACAATATAAAATGTTCCATTTCTATTTTCTGTGTGCATTGCTTTGTAAGAACTTGGCTCTGAAAAGCAACTAAGAAACACAACGTGTCAAATATATACTTTTTAGCTTGCCAAATTCTACTTCTAGACTTACCAGCCCCTGAAACAGTCTCAAGAGAATAAATTGGTTTCTCATCTGTCCTGTAAGAGATGACAGACCTAAAGGAAAAAAGAAAAGCTTTCTAAACAAGTTTTATTGGCCTGAAAGAACCTATCAAATGTTACCATCCATGGTCAGACACAGTTCAGTAGCATGCAAAACTAGGTTTACTTCTCCCTGCCCTCTTCAAGGAGGCTATGTCAGGCAGAAATCCATTCTCAAAGAGTAAACCTAATCTACTAGTGCACTAGGAATGAGAGAGAGAGAAGGCAGCTTATGACTGTCCTCATTTCTGTTCACATTTTCAATACTGCCTGCTGAAATAGCTTGCCTCACTCTGTAATCTGTAACTTGGCTCATTTGTCTGGAGTCTTTAACTTAATGCCCTGCTCAGCACAATCTTGCTTCCTGTCTTTGGTTCAATGCCACATACTTGGGCCCACTGAGATCCACCTGTTCACTGGAAATTTCTGTTTTCCTTCCAAGCAACAACCTTTGCAGGAAAGGTGAGTTCAACATAATCACAGGAACTGACCACCAGACTTCGCTTGAAGCCAGAGCTCCTGGCTTGCTAGCCCGGGCTGCCAAACCGCTTCCCGAATGTCCGATCCACTGTCAAAACAACACCACTTGCCTGAACCGATTGAAGATGACCATTCCTTCATCAAACTCGTATCCAGAGTTCAGGAGCTCCAAGGTGATGGCTGATGCATCTCCAAAGGTGGGGGGCCTTCTTCCCACTTCTTTAAAGTTCAACAGAAAGTTCTCGCTGTGTGTCCTAGAAGAAAGTGGCCCCACCATAGAATCAAGCTGAACGAACCCCATGGACATATGCTTTCGTCACAGGACATCCCAACACCACCGTGCGCTCTGCTCAGGCGGCCCTGGAGAAGCATCCAGAGCCTTCAGCCCGGCTAGCATGTGAGAGCAGGAATGCCAACAGGAGGCTGTTTACTGGGGATGTGGCAGTCCCTGACTGAACCAGCTGTCTCTCTCTCCCTGGGCTCCATTCAAAGCAGCCTATTTGGGATAGGGAAATGTCCTGCTCGGCACTTGTGGAATCCCTTCCTTTGCCCCCCATCCTGTTAGAATGGGCTGTGGACTGCAGTGTTTCAGTTCTAACAGAAACAGTTTTAAAGAGATGCTCTGGTTTCATTTATTTATTTGCGTTCTCATCCACCTTTCTCCCATTATGGAACTTGGTCTCCCCTCCAAGCTCAGGCCAGCCCTGGACCTGCTTAGCTTCAACATGTGCCTTCAGACCATACTCTGGGCTTTGCTTCTCTAACGCAAGTTTTTTTCCCCTTATGGTTTGCTTCGCCACTTTGATATCATTGATCAGGAGTGGCAGGATTAAGTGTGCTTTAAAACAAACCAGGTACCTGATCCCACAAAGCATATCAGGCAGTGTCTGGTTTTAGAAAAAGAGCAACGCAACCCTCCAGAGAACCTCGGTGGGATTCTTCCTCTACTGCCGTGGAACTGCGCCCCCGAGAGTTCTGGTTTTCTTTATATTGTTAATTTGTTGTATATTTGGATGTATTATATTTTAATTTTATGTTGTGAGCCGCCCCGAGGCTTCAGCGAATGGGGCGGCATAGAAATGTTTTAAATAAATAAATAAAATAAATACACAAGCCTCCGAGATGTCATGATACGCACTCAAGGAACTGCTTCCCCTGCACCCAGATTCTCCCAACCCCTCGTCATTCCATAATCACTCTTTTCCCTATTGTCAGTCATCCCCACTTTATGTCTTTCATGCCAGTTAGGGGTAGACAGTTGGGCACCTGAGAAGCCCAAACCCTCCCACTTATTTTTAAATAATTTGTATTTGTATAAGATACAAATAAAAATATAAAAATAATAAAAACACAAAATACACAAAATAAAATTTAAAAAACCAGTGCACCCCTCTACCCAGACCATAGCTGCCTGCTTGTTGTTTTTTTTCCCCTTCATTTTTCTGCTCTTTCCAAGATACCCCCTTCCATCCAAAATTGCAAACATCCTTTGGGGGTTTATTACTCTCCCCTTTTATTAATACATGTTCAATAAACATACCCCATATATTGTTAAAATCATTCTTCTTTACCAATCCTTTGTTCACTTTTATCTCACATGTCAACTTGACATTAACTGCTATATTCCAAACTTCTTTATACTATTCAAATAATTGGCGATCCTGTTTCTCCTTCCAATTCTTTGCGATTAACAATTTTGCTTTTGCGATTAACAATAACATGTATTATTAACCTTCCCACTTCACACACACACACACACACACACCTACCTCTCTCTTAGTTTTGGCAGGCAGCCAGGACTGCTGAGGAAAAGGCTTCTATTGGTTGAATTCAGACAAAGAGTTCACTGCTCTGGGGCTCAAGCCCCACCTCTGCCTTGTTCTCAGTCTTCTGGGCAGGCCACTTGTTCCTTGCCACACTTCCAAGCGCAGCCATGTGGGGGTGCTGCCCCCAAGACAGTTTCCCACACTGCCGAATGTAGCCCACCCCCCCTCCCATGGAGGCCTGCGCATGCCCTGCCTTGCCCAGCCAGTCAAGCACCCCGTTTATCCTGGTCCTCCTTGTATTCCGGCCACCTGATCTTCCTACTACCTTTCCCATCTTTCTTGGTGCCCCAGCTAGCTCAGCACTTCCCACTCGCTTCCCCACGTCCACTGGAGGCTGGGATCCAAGCCCTGCCTGAACACTAAGACATGTCTACATCATTTCTAGGTTTAGGGACTATCAGGCCCAGTCAAACACGTCCTAGACATATCCTTGCCCTCAGCGGCCTCTGAGTGCTACTGGTACCTTCGATTAAGATCCTGAGCGCATGACTGTGACCCCAAGAGCCCTCTCTCAGAAAACATCACCAGTCCGTGGGATCCAGGTGCACGTTTAGAAGGGCTGCTGGTCTAGTTACCTTTGAAGAAGACCCCGCAGCTTGTCTCCCACTCCAACCACCATCACTTCTTTTCCCTTTTCCGTGAGGGAAGAGAAGTGGCTCTTGATCATTTTAGCAACGGAAGTATGGATGGCACCACACAGGCCACGGTCAGAGGACACCCCAATGATAACGACCTTTTTTTTGTCCTCAGGAGCTTTGATTTCTGCTTTCTCGTAGAGAGCTATGAAAGAGAAAGGGTATGGGGAGCCAGAAACCATGATCAGCAACCACTAAAATGAGTTGGTACCAAAACAAAACAAAGCAAAGCACAACACAAAAACAAAGAACTCACCAGCAATTCCCCCAGCAAGCACCAAAAGATCCCCTCACACCTACTATTGTTAGGTACTGTGATCCTATCACAACCTTCAAATTAGAAGATTAATCTGGGATCTCCAGGGTTTACGTCCCTGGGTTTTGAAAGTTTTCCCATTGTTTGCATTAGCCAAACTAGAATACCCGCCACTCAGGATGGGGTCACAGCCTACAGGCTTCCTTCAGTTGGAAAAACGTGTTGTGCTCTTAAATAACAGCAGGTGAGAAACCGTCTCGGAAACAAGGAAAACAAAGAATACAGTATATATCCTGCACAAGATTTTGGTCAGGTGCACAAAACAGCATCCTGAGAATTTCATCTTAACAAAAGAACACAAAACAAAGGCCTGTCCCTGCACACTCCTCAGTCTTCTGGCAATACAAATTATTGTGGTGAGACCTGTGAGAAATTCCTAACTGTATTTCAAAAGCCAGAGTGGGCTCTGCAATATTTCCAGGAGTAAGGAGAAGAGAGTTCACTATCTTATATAATTCCTTAGAAATCCGCATCATAAAAATGGAATTAATCCTTTTTTAATTTTATATAACTTATACACCATTTTCCCATAGTATACTGAGCCTAATTTGGTTCAAATTGAACCATAACATATCAAATTACATCAAAGCACAAGATACACAAGCATATTTGAGTTCCACAAACTTAGACAGACTGCAGAATTAGGTTTCCTTCAATGCAGAACTGGGTCTAACCGTGAAACCTGCGGTATGATTAATCGCTTGCCTTGTCCCTCATGCCAAGTAGCAACACTAAGCCCAGCAATGAAACAGCAGGAGCTCCAAATCAGCTATTTCCAAAACCTGCACTGAAAATCACGATTAACTCTATACCTCCATTTCAAATACTTCAGAGTGAAGGTAAATTTAGTTACCTGTAAGCCAGCTTGCTGTACCTTATCAGAAACGTCTGAGTCAATTGTTGCTAATGTGTGGTTTATATTTTTATTTTATTATGTTGTAAATTCAACCCCAAGAAGGGTAAGGTCCCTTACCCAACGCCCCCACTCCGTAAATTCTGGCAGGCTTTAATTCTCTCTCTGCCCTGGAGTATTTCGCTGCAGCAACCATCTTCATAGACTTTGTGATTTTCTGGATATTCTTGATTGACTTCAAGCGTCGGGTAACTGCACAGATTAAAGAGTATGAGATGTGGCAAGGTTTTCAAACAGAGATTGAAAATAAAGTGGCATAAAAATGGTATTAAGCATTGGTTTCAATTAAGCAGGTATGCTACTCAGATAATTAGTGGAACTCTTGCTTGGAATAACTGGAGTGAATTAATTGGCTAATGCATATTCAAAATAAGAAACATGATTAACAGAAATATCCAGTGAGGGTGGGAAAGAGGAATATATGGCAGAGGAACCATCAAATCCAAATCTGTACTGGGCTCTCACAGGCAGGGTAGGTGGTGAGGAAGGGAGAGAAATAAATAAACCAACTCCAGGCAGCTGGTACAGTTTCCTTGCCATTCCAGGGATATGCTAGGGAATCCAATGGCTTTGCATCCAGTGTTTCCAAAGTGTTTTGATCCACTTCAGAAGAGCAAGGGCAGCAAAGATTTCTGTTGCAAAGAGGTTTGCAAGACTGACTCCCAGTATTTGGCTTCTTAAATTCTGATTCCAGTTTCAAGCTCTAAGAAACAATTCTAACTTAGTCACTTTACACAGAGCACAGAAAAGCATTCTTCTCAGGTGAACCTAACAGCATTAGAAGGCCTTGTAAATGAATATAGGAGCCAAGGTTTCAAATTCGTTGGTGTCTGTCCTTCCTGCTCTGCCGTTCAGAGTAACTGGGTATTTAAGAGTGAAATAGTGTATATTAATGAGTGAAATACTTACTATCTTTCAGCGTTGCCATGTTCCTAACTTGGACCCTGAAAAAATAAATCCACATTGCAGAGGTTCAGTTAAAAGTGCTACTTCCCAATGCTAAAATAGAAGAAACATGGAGTAGCTGCAACATGGTGACCTTGCTCTACAATGTCACCGCCTTTTAAAATTAATTTTACATTCATTACATAAAGCTACAATTAGACCACTATGCCCCATTTGACTTAGATCTACTTCTGAACGAGATGCTGAATGTTATGCTGCTGTCCTACAAACCCAGTCTATGGAATTCAGAGGAAACTGACTGTCCTTAGCTCCTCCTTTTCCAGAGGAAAGCATACAAAGGTACATTTGGTGCAAACATACAGATGTACATGTGCCATTTTGCAATATTCCATTACTCTCTAGCCTGCACAGCAAAGAGAATTATACAAGAAGGCAATGCTGAGAGGCACCAACTTAGCAAAACTGGGGGCATGCCATTTATATATCCCATATAAGTGAATGAATACCATTCGCCCTCTGCATAGAAATGAAGTACAGTGGGATTACATTAGAATAAAGACAACTGCCCCCCACCATCTCCGAGTGTTAACTAGCAGATGTCTGTGTATCCATATAAATACAGAACATTACTATTTATTGCATCTCCACAGATCTGCATATATACACACTTCCTCTTTGCACAAAACAAGCATTTTACTAGCGAATGAATAAATACACCATTCATTTTCATTAATTACCCTGCACATGAATTTGAAATCTTCCAGATGTCATTGGACTAAACTGCCACCAGCTCATCAAAATGAGCATTAATATCTCTGAGCAATAATCAGGGATAATGGGGACTGTAGCACCTGGAGGACCACCAGTTGCTCACCTCTACACAAACTTCATGCCCAGTGAGTAGAACTAACAATGGCGGGGCCTGGGGGAGGAGAATACATGAGCCAAGAAATGTTTAGACAGGGAAAAAAGCTTGTGTACTTTGACTGATATTTTTGCACCAGCCTGTGAGGCACAGCAGTCGGAGTGGTGGCCAAGAACGTGGGAGATCCAAGTTCTGCTCCCCACCGAGCAATGAAATTCACCGGGGGGATTTGGGCCGGCCAGCCCGCCTGGCCTACCTCACACCGTTGTGAGGAGGCTAAAAGGGAGAGGAAGATTCTGCCAACTGCTTTGGACCCTCACAGGAAAAAAAAAAAGGCAGGATGAAGACGCAACAAATAAAAAGCATTGTGATTTGTAAAGATAATTAACTTCAAGGCTTATTTTTCTTTTAAGCCTAGGGCAAGACTGAAATCCTCGGTGCCACGAGCAAGCCTTGCTGAGCACGCCTCTGAGTATGTGCAGAGTGCCTCCCGCTCACGGCAGGGAAGCAGGAGGGACTGCAGAAAAGCCGGAGCAGAGCCTTCTCAGCCGAGAAGCCCCGAGCCCCGGCACCTCTTCGCTGACCCTCCCCCCTGCCCCCCCCCCCCGCAACCCGGCCGCCTCTCCTCGCCCTTTCCCCGGGGAAGTACCATTGCGGCTGAGACAGGGAGGCGGCGGCGCCACCCACCAGGGCGGCTCCTCGGGCCAGCATCGTGCCTGCGGCGGCGTCTCCGGTCGGCTGCGGCCTCCTCTGCCTCCTTCACGAGCTGCCGCCCCGGCCGCTGAAGGTCAGAGCGCGCGCACTGCGCGTGCGCAGCCGCTCCGCCTCTGCAGCCGGAGCCCGCTTGCCACAGAGCGGAGAGAGGGAGAGCGCGAGGGCGGAAGAACAGCAGAAACTTCCGGGTTGAAGGGCGCCGCCGCGGCTCCATGGCGGACTTCAGGGCCCGAATGGATTCCCCCCGTCTCTATGGTTCTCTGCAGCCTGGCGGATACGGTTTGGCGCCATAGAGGTGCAGGGCTACAGTCGACGCCGGATTTGGCTGAACCCTCGAGAAGAGAAATGGGAGGCACAGGGCGCACAGGGAGAAGGATACGGTGCGCTTTGCCCGCCTCATTTGCTGTTGGCAATTCGGTTCGACAAATTTGGAAGTGGACGGCAAAGGCGACTTGCCCGGGACACTCTACCTGTCCCAGTTTCTATGGTCAGAGTACGCCGGGTCGATCGCTTCCGCTTCCGGTCCCCGTTTTCTGGCCGAGACCCCGGAAGCGAGGGTGTTGCGGCGGCGTTGGCGGCGTTGTTGTGGGCGCTCCTCTCGGTCCTCGTCATGGGGAAGACGGACTTCCTGAGCCCGAAGGCCATCGCCAACCGCATCAAGTCGAAGGGGCTGCAGAAGCTGCGCTGGTATTGCCAGATGTGCCAGAAGCAGTGCCGGGACGAGGTGAGGGGCCGCGAGGGTCCCCCGTGGTCGGGCGGACTGATCCGGCGGCGATCGTCGGTTGCGGAGAGTCCGCTGTGGGGACGACCAACTCCCTAATGGGTAGCCCGGGACCACTGATTCCAGTGGGTCTACTCTGAATCGGACCGAATCAGCAATCACGAGCTGAAATCCCATTGCTTTGTATGGGTATATTTTATCTGTGACTCAGTTCACCCATTAAAGTTCCGTCGATTCCAGTGGATTTGGTCAAAATAGCTGGTAGTTGATTTCAGTGAGCCTAACTTAAATATTTCCAAAGTTATAATGAGTAAATTAAGTGTCTTTGACATGAGTGAGTGCACTCTAAGCATGTCTGTAGAACAATTAAGTGAAGTCCAATGATTCCATGGGATCTGCTCTAAACACCACCATTTTAAAATGACTCTTGTTGTTACATTATTGCAAGGAAGCAAGGCAGCTTACAAAATTTCCATTTTATTGTCACAACAGCCTTATAATAGTAGGTTAGGCTGATATTCTGTTATTGGCCCAAAGTCACCAGAGACTGACTAAGTGGGGCTTGAACCCCTGCCTCCTGAGTCCCAGTCTGTGACCACTCTACCATATTAGCTGAAGACCCACTGATTGCCGTGGATCTGTTCTAAGGACAAGCAAATGTAAATTCAGCTCCGTACATTTATGTGGCAGCATGTGGGTCTGTAGATGCATATGCTGCAAACAAGCACTGCAGAAGAACTGTTGTCTTCCTGCCCTGCTTTAAAGATTCTGAAGCACATCTGGTTAGCTCCATTCGGGAAACAGGTTCTAACTTCAATGGAACCTTGGTCTGGTCTGCACAATCATACATTTTTATAAAATTAGACTGAGAGGCAGTTGTTCAGAACAGAAAAGTGAAGTGAAACACGTGTCATTTTTCTTGTGACATTTACTATAATAAGATGCAGTGATAGTTTGGAAGGAGGAATTAGGTAATGTTATGGTCTTGACTGGTGGCAGTTAGGCATGGAAGCCAAATGGAGCCTCTGTGTTCAGAGAAATATGAGTTGATGAGTACCAATTGCAAGGATGGGAAGGACAGTGAAGGGCGGTTGCTTTCATGCTGTACTTCTGGGTTTCCGGGAGGCATCCAGTAGTCCACTGATGAAAACAGAATGCTGGACTAGAAGGACTTAAATATGGTCTAGCTGGGCTCTTCTGCTCTCATGGAGGTAGGCAGAGAGAGTCCTACTAAAAGACGGGACCAGGGTGTGGTTAATTAATCAGGTTTCTGGCTGGGATTTGGACATTGTTACAGTTGAGGAGGGACCTATCAGTCAAATGAGAGTTTGTTTTTACGAATAAAAATGTGTTCTTGGAAGCCATATGATGATCAAAAAGCCAGGCTCTTTCAGATTTCTTGGTCATCTCTGTGCCAGGAAAACCTCTCACCCATTCTGAATTCCTGTTGAAGAATTTGTTGTGGATTTTTAAAATGTACGTTTGCTCGTTTGTGCCAGTTGTCATGAGTGTTGTGTGTTTGTCCTGTTTTTTTTAGAATGGCTTCAAATGCCATTGCATGTCAGAATCTCACCAGCGACAGCTGCTGCTTGCGTCTGAAAATCCGCAGCAATTCATGGATTACTTCTCAGAGTGAGTTTGATCAATATTTTGGCTTTGATTCTCCAGCTGATTCTGTTCTTTCTGGTTCTAATACAATTTGGCAAGTTAGGCATGAGTATATCCTAGTGAAACCTGACTGTTCTGCCTGTATTCTGGCCTTACTGATTTCATCAAGTCTAAAATATCCGCTGTTTCTGAGGTTCTGATGTAGTTGTTTACAAGCTATGTGGGTACTTTCATCCACTTTAACCAAGGAGCCAATTCTGTGTTGAAATAAGTTGTAGTAGGCAAGCTCATTGACTCAGTTCATGTGCAGTGGGCATCAAGGTTTTTCAGGCAAAGTCTCTTTGTCTCTAAGAAGTTCTAGCTATGCTACTGAGTACCCTTTCCTAGACTAGAGCTCTCTCTCTCCTGTCAAGTGGCAGTGCTGTACATCCTACTTGACTGGAGGGCTTTGAAAATTTTGCCTCCGCATTCACATCCTTCATGTAAGGCCTCATTAATCAGTGACCAGACAGACAATTCTAACAAGTCTGCTGGTCTCTCAGGCTTGGATGGAGCTTTTTCTTATCACTGAGGGAATGGTGTGTTCTTCTCAGTGCTACAGAATTTCCTGGCATGCGCTCCCCTTCAACACCTGAGCCTCTTTCCCTCTTCCCCAAGGTTGTTTTCTCAGTCCCAGAGAGACATCCGTCATGGTTCTTTCCATATGAGTTGTGAAGGGGAGGAGGAGTGGAGTTGGAAGTCCAATTTCCAGCTCTGGAGCAGAGCAGTGCCTCTGAACTTTGATCTGGGAATCCAGATATTCTGCAGCCCCTCAGATGCTGTTGGGGACCATAGGATTTCTTAATTAATGCATTTTGTCGCCAGCTACCAAATTCCTGTGATTGTCTCTTTTGTATTCTTCTAGGGAATTCCGGAATGATTTCTTAGAACTTCTTAGAAGAAGATTTGGTAAGTTGTTCTGGTAAAAAAAAGGATGTTACATACGTTATTTAAAAATGCTTTCTGTCTGGTATCAGATCTGTAATTAACTGCAGTCTCTTTTGTTCTAGGAACAAAGAGAGTCCACAACAACATAGTATATAATGAATACATTAGTCATCGGGAACACATCCATATGAATGCCACCCAGTGGGAAACGCTGACAGATTTTACGAAGTGGTTAGGGAGAGAAGGTAATTCTGTTCTTGAATGGATGTCTCCCAAAGAGGAAACCCGTATTCATGTATTGGAAAGTGCTAAGAACAATACCTGGCTGATACAAATTAATCTAATCTGCTTTTTATGGCTTTCAAGCTCCTCTGATCCAGAGGAACAATGTCATTTATTGGGCAAGCTGTTGCTGGTACAGAATTCATCTTTCATAAAATATGTTTGTTTAAATCAAAGAAGCAAAACAGAAAGGTTTCACTAGTGCTTATGACTGCTTATTCTTGAAAACATGCACTCAATGCTTGTTGAGAATTCTGAAACCAGAAAGGCGGCGCGTGCTTCTAGATGAGAACTGCTCACTCTTTCCCAGATGTGGTTGCCTCATACCAGCAAGTATTGAACTTTGATGAGGTTGGCTGGTGTTAGTTCTTAGCTGTATTCTTTTGCTTCTGTAGAGACTTTAAGCACCGCTGTAGTGTGTGTGTGTGTCTGTTTTGTTAAGGTTTCTGTAAAGTGGATGAAACACCCAAAGGCTGGTACATCCAGTACATTGACAGAGACCCTGAGACGATCCGTAGGCAGCTAGAGCAAGAGAAGAAGAAAAAGCAGGACCTTGATGATGAAGAGAAAACAGCCAGATTCATCGAAGAGCAAGTCAAGAGAGGCTTGGAGGGGAAAGAACAGGTGAGCAAAGACTTTCATGTATTGGATTCCACATGCCCAGATGATGAATGCTGGCTGAGGTTGGTGACAGCGTTTGCCATCTTTTTGCTACCAGTCCCCAAAAAGGTTGTGGATTTCATGGCTGCTCTCCTTAATGCCCTCCATTACCCAGAAGACTCCTGTTCCTATAAAACAACTCCTTTTTGTTGGTGAAGACTGGCTTTCCTCCTCTTCTACATCCTGAGCTGCAGCAGTGTTCCAAGCAACGGTCCTGGTTGGCAGTCATCTCTTCTGTACCTAAGCCCTGAACTTGCTTTGCTCTCCTGTTGCAGGAAGAGCCAGTCTACACAGAACTGACCAGAGAAAATGAGGAGGAGAAAGGTAAGTGGATATGCCAGATGTCTCTGTGGGGCAGGGGAAATATGAATGAAACGCCTCTCTTTGGTCGCTCCCAGGATCCATCTATCCTCATCTATGTAGTAGCTTGCTTGTTTAGCACGGAAGCACCGGGTTTCTTACTAAGCTGTTTGTGAGTATTAAAAACGTTTCTAGCTCTCATGGCTGCTGGTAGCAACTTGAAAATATATGAATGATGTCTGAAGACGTTTCAGAAACTAAGAAAGCACTGTAGTGTCTAGGTAAGTTGTGCAGTGAATCAGGATACCTTTATGTCAAATATTATTAATAAAGAGGCAGATGCTTCCTCTTTATACCCCAGAATACCAGCTTGGTGGATGAGCCATCTTCTGTTTGTCCTTACTTAACTATGAGTATTGGGCATGTGCAGAGGGTTTCATGGAGAGGTGAGAGATCTCTCCTGCCACTGCTTCGCTTCTCAGATTCCGGCACAGGTGAGAGAGATCTCTGCCTCTCCTCTGAGCCCTCCAACAGTCCTGGAAGGCTTGGGAGAGAGGCAGAGCATTTTGCGATGCCTGCGTGGAGGCTGCAGCAAGGCAGGAATCCACAGGTTTGTTTCTTCTCCAAGTCTCCAAGCGACTGGGGAGAGCCTTTGTGTCTCCCCTGAAGCTCTCCCTCAAACACGGGGAGCCCAAGGGAAAGCTGGCAGCACGGAGGCTTGGAAAATGAAACAGACGGGTTCTTCTGGAAAGGGCCTTGGCTGCCCTCCCTTCCCTGCATGCTGGGTTTTTGCAGGGAGGGGAAGCCACTCCCCTTTCTGTCTTCAGGTTCCCTCTGCAGGTTGTGCAAAGGCCATTGCGCTGGAGAAAACTTGGGTAGGTGTCATGGATAGGCATGTCGCAAAATACTCGTAGCCTAGCAGGAGCCTCTGGACATGCGTCTCCCCTTCCTGGGCTAAAAAGCCAAAAGGATATGTTCTTTTCTTCCAGTGGTGTTTAACTTGAACAAAGGAGCCAGCACCTCGGGGGCTGCACATCCGAAAGCCAGGTGAGTGCACTTTTGCCGGCTCATCTTCTCCGTCCACCAGCGTGTCTCCTGCGGCGCTCTCCCGCTTCTCCCATTCCCAGCAAACATGCATGCTGGCGACAGCACTGCGACCCAATATATTCTCGCACGTGGCACTGAAAACTTTTTGGGGCTTGCCCAGGAGAACCCCCTTTGGGATCGCCCAGTTTTCCTTTTAGAAAGCACAATAGCACCAACCAGCAAAGACATGCATCGGCTTTTTTCCATGAGCCGTGGCTCACGGGCGGAGGCAGAGGTGCGGCTGCCGTCGGAAGGACCCTTCCCCATACCTTTGGTTTCCCACATCCTGCATTCTGTTGGCCTTCCAAGCTCAGTCAGTCCTTCCTCTTGTGTCCTGCCCAACGCAACTTTCTATTTCTGTCTGTTGACCAAAAGCTGAATAAGTGACTTTGAAAATGAAGCAAGAGCATTATCCAGGCTAGTGAATCTGTCAGGCAGAGTCAGCAGGCTGTGGAGCTGAGCTGGACATGCCAGATTTCCAAGCACGGCAGCTGAATTCCTCAAGAGCCACGGAGCTGACACCCTTCTGGGTCGGTCAGGATGCTTCTGTCGGGGGGCCAGGGAGAAGCCATCAAAAGGCCTGGTAGCTGAGCATGGGTTGCATTCTAGTTCCCAGAGAAAGTTTAATGTTCCACCTTCTAGTAGTGGGCAGGGCTGAAGACTAAAGTGCCAGGGACAAAAGACCAAAGAAGCCGGCATTTCTTAGCTGAAAACACAGCTGGGCTCCTTCCGGAGGCCCCATACCTGGCAAGCTTCCTGTGTGGGTAGGCAGGCTGCGTAGGGTGGGGGGATCCTCCCTAGGAAAGCCCAGTCTGGGGAAAGGAGTCCAGGTGGGTCCTGCAGGTTCTGGACTAGCCTTCACGTCATTATCGGGGACCCAGCCCCACACCCCACCTGTGAGATGGCAGCCTGCGCAGTGCTAGGAGCGCAGCCTAACAGACGCCTCTTTCTTCAGTTTGCTTGGATCCAGCGCCCTGAAGGCTGTGGGAACAGCCTCAACCGCCAAGCGTAAAGAAACGCCACCGAATTCGGGGCAGTCCAAAGAAAAGAAAAAGAAGATCTCGGCGCTCGATGAGATCATGCAGGTGCAGTAAGTCCCCTTTTCCAAGAAGGCAACTTCTCCCAGCTTGAGGCTCGGCAGCTGGGTGGCTTGGGGCAGAAGCTTCCCATGTGTGGAAAGCAGCCGGGGCATCGGAGCGGGGGAGGAGTGCTCCACCCACATGCCCTGCAGGGGCCACTGAGCGAGTGGCTCGCTCTTGCGCTCTCGGGGCCCCCTCTCTTCTTGAGATAATGGCTCAGGGCCTGGAGGCCGAGGTAGTCACAAACCCCAACCCGCCACAGTGTTTCGGGTTTGAGGGCCAAGTTGCCAGCTGGCCAGCAGCAGCCTTCTCTAACAAGGTGGCCTCCGCAATTTGGGGGTTGCCGCTCCCAGCATGCCCAGCCATTGGCTGTGCTGGCTGGGAATTATCAGTTGCTGCCTAACTCCTTTGGAAGGCACCACAATGGGGAAAGGCATGGCATGAGCATAAACCAGAGAGCGGGAGCATCAAAGCATGGAATGACGCATCAGCGCTTCTGAGAATTTCCCCCTCTTGCTCTGGCTTGACTCGCCCTTCCTCCAAGGAGCTTGGAGCAGCACCTGTGACTGTTTCCCATTTATCTTTGCAGCAGTCCGGTGCCTTAGGCTGAGAGTCAGTGGCTGCATCCCACTAGGCTACATGGCTGAACAGGGATGTCAGCCCAGGTGCTGGTGTGGCACCAGGGAAGGCCCACAGGGCCAGGCCGAGCATAACTTTGCATGTGAGCAGGCCCAGGTTGCCTCCTCAGCAGCTGCGAAGGGCCCTTTTCTGCAGCGCCAGAGAGGGGCAGACAGGGTGTGACTAGAATCGGTGGCATGACATGGCATCTGGCAGCTTCTCTCCTTCTTGCCAGCGCAATCCGTACAGCTAAAGATCCGATGAAGCTGCATGAAATAGCTTCAAGGTCAGTTGAAGGCACTACTTGCTGAAACTCTGAGGCCCATCCTTCTCCAAGGGAGATTTATTTATTATTTATTAAAACATTTCTGTGCCGCCCCTTGCCGAAGCCTCGGGGCGGCTCACAACACAAAATAAAATACAATAAAATACAAAAATAACAATATAAAATAAACAATATAAAATAGATAACAATATAAAAGAGATACGCTCTGCCTGTTATTGCTAAATCCCTGCCTTGCTGGAAAACTTTCAGTGCCTTTCGAAATGGGTGGCCATTTCTTTTAGGCAGGATTCTCCAACTTGGAGCCCCCTAGAAGGGTCAGATGGCAATGCTGGTCGCTCTCAGCCAACGCAGCCCGTGGGAAAGCTCCCCTTTAGGGTTGCAGTGCACGTGCTGATGCCCTCCTTTAGCTGTTCTTACTCTTCCCCTGTGTGCTCTTCTCTTCCCAGTTTGAAGAAGAGAAGAAAAAGTCTGCCCGGGCAGATTACTGGCTTCAGCCTGTAAGTACATCAGCGGTGCCCCGGACTCTCCTTTTAGTTGTCTGGCCAGTCGTGGCGAAGCAGCCTGGCTTTGTGGAACGGGCAGCCGGCTTGCTTCTCTGCAGGTCCTTTGCATGTACACTAAAGGATGCGGTCATGTCCCGGCTGCATCCTGCATCGCAGATCCGGCATCGCCCAGTGGGTGAGGTGGCACGATTTCCAAGTCTGACGTTCTGGGATGCTGCATCCTGCTTTCCCCCAGGTCCTGTTGCAGGGGGTTGTTTCAATCTAAGCTAGTTAACAAACCAGGATCTAAAAGCCTGGTTCCATCCTTGTTTGTTTTAGCTAACTTTGGTTAGAGCAAGGCACATTCCATAGCTTAAGATGGAAGATGGGAGTGCGGCTTTTCCTCAAGTGGAAACTTCCACTCTCTTTGTCTGAAGAGGAGATGTGCAAAGCTGACTTTTGCTGTGGCTCCTTCCCACTCACTTCAAGCAGCAGTTCGCAGACAGTTTTGAAATTTCCGTGCCAGTTTTTGAATTGAACCAGTTTTTAATGTTTTTATTTTAAAATTGTATTGCATTTATATCCTGCTTTTTTCTCTTACAAGAAATACAAGGTGGGTTACCGAGTCCTTCTCCATTTTGTCCTCAGAACAACCCTGTGAAGTCATTCAGGTGGAGAGGCAAGAACTGGCCCAAAGCCTCCCAGTTAGCTTCAGGACCGAGTAGAAACTTGAAACCAAATTGGCCAGTGCATTTTGGGTTAAAGCAGCTCATGTCGATAACAAAATTTTGGGAGAAGCATCTCAGTTTTTTTAGAATAGGGGAAAATGTGCAAAAGCCAGGAAACGACCAAGTAACCAATGATTGCTGAGTTGTGGTGCCACAGTCTGGAGAATGCCAGGGTGGTGCAGCTGGTCATCTTTTCTAGCTCAAAGGCCTACGATCAAAATTGTAGACGTTGTACACTGTTTAGTTTCCCCTGTGTCTTCATAAGAAGACCAAGCAAACCCCGATTGTACCATTTTATCTAATCGAGCTAGAAAAACTGTGAAGGGACAGTCCTGCTTACAGCCCCCTCTTGCCCTTCAGTGAGCCCTGCGTGTGGTATACTAGTAAGTCAAGGAGAAATGATTTGCGCCAGACCTACCTTCCCGGACATGGTAATTTTCTGCGTGCACGGAGGAGGGTTGAGTGACAAGGGACCAGAGCAGGAGAAGCTGGGCCTGCATTTGCGTCTACACTGTTTAAGGAACAAGGAAGTGCTGGGATGCAACGTGGAGTATGGTCACATCGCGTCCCAGGATATCAGCTCAGTTTGGCAATTTATGGCAGGAAATCTCAGCGGAGGTGAACTAGAAAAGAAAGATGCTTGTTCCGTGTGATTGTAATGGGCCGCTCATTTCTTTTCCAGGAAATTGTAGTCAAGATCATAACAAAGAAACTTGGTGAGAAATACCATAAAAAGAAGGCGGTTGTTAAGGTGAACACTTCAGTCTTTTAACCAGTGCTTTTTTTGTAAAAAAAAAAAAAAAAGAAAAAAAAAGTGCCGTAACTCACGTCGTCGCTGGCAGTAAGCACACACACCAATCCCAAGCTGAGCAGCAGAGCAGCGTCCCGAGCAGCTATGTCTCACTATCAGATAGCAGATCGCAGACACAACAGCAGCCTGCAGGCACCATGTTAATGATGTTTGCTGCTGATCTGCTACGCCAAAATCACTTCGTAAAATCCATTGGAAAAAAAGGTGCCGGAACGCCGTTCCGGTGCGTTCTATGACAAAAAAAGCCCTGCTTTTAACTATACGTGAACTCGTGGTGGAGAAGGGGAGATGTTTTCTGTGGTTACAGCAGCCGCGCCCCCGGCATCCAGCCGTGTGCCCAGGCACTGCTCTTGGCTGCCATGACATGGCGAGATCTTGCGTGGCACCAGCGAGCGCCGGGGTCACATCCCTCGCTCAGCCTTCCCTTGGGAAAGCTGCCCGGGAACAGCTGGACAAGTGGCCCTGGGAAGCTCTCCCAAGGATCCAGGCTTGCATTTACTCCCGTTACCCTGGCAAGCGTCAAATTGTCCCCTGGGGATGGGCAGCGTAAGTTTGCCAGCCTTTCTGTCTTCCCTACAGCTGGTGAGGCAGCTCGGTGAGTCCGTGCGCCTCTCGGCTTTGGCATCAATGCTTCAGTGCGCTGGGAGGAAGGGGCTGGCAGGCGGGCTGCCGGGTGACTCCTCAGCCTGGCATTTAGTAGTTCTCTAGCCACAGCCTAACGCACTGTGTTCTCATTGGCGGTAGTGGAACCAAAGGCCATGCTGCCCATTACAGAGTCAGCAGGAACGCAGAGTGCCCCCGGGTGAAATGTGAGGCAGGAAGATGCTGTGCGCATGGCGAGGAGAAAGGCTGTGGGCCAGTGTAGAAGGCCTGCTTTGCTTGGGTCCAGTTCTCATCTTCTCTAATGCTGCAAAAAGGATCTGGTGATAAGCGATAGGACGGACCCTTCAGCTACTTGAGATCCTGCTGCCCCATACACATCACGCTGGGCTAGGTGGCGGAACAGCACGGCCTGGCAGGGGGCAGATTCCTGGGTTCCCAGCCACCCGGAGAGCTTGGGCTGGTGGGCTGGGTAGAAATGTCACCCATGAAAACAGAAAATGCCTGGGAGCCACGGTTAATTGCGCTTGCCTGTGGCTCCTCCATAAGGTGGTGGTGAAGGTGTGTGTTCGCCTCGCACGTTAGGGAGTGCGCTGCCGTACGTGCGAGGTGTTTGTGTGAGGCGCAGTGATTGACAGAAGCAGGTTGGCTCTAGCTTACCTTGTGACTGTTACCTTTGCTCCTCCAGAAGGTGAGCCGGGGGGATTTCCCCTTTAATACGTGTGTATTCATACGACAGGAGGTGATTGACCAGTACACGGCAGTGGTCAAGCTGATCAATTCTGGAGATAAGCTGAAACTTGACCAGACGCACCTGGAGACTGTGATCCCGGCACCAGGTAACCCGTCTTGCGAGTGGGTTCTCAGAGCGGCGGGCAGCAATTTTAAATGTCAGTTTGGCCAGCGCGCTCTTATCTTTTCGCAGCTGGCGATGGTGGCTACAGGTAGCCTTGCAGAAAGTGTTGCTGCGTTAGAATCTGAGGTAGTCTTTTAATTTTAAGAGAAGGACGCAGCAAGGCACCAAAGGCAGGAGCTGACCTGCAGCCAGCAGGGGGCCTGTGCTGCTGAGGCAATACGGCAGGGCAGGGTACACAGCGAGGGGCAGAAGCTGAAGGACACCGCAGCCGTGTGGAAACCTTGCCCGGCTGAGGGGAGACAGCGGGGCAGGATCTGGGCCAGGCAAGAGGCAGGCAGTGCAGCGAACAGGAAGACCGGTGGTGCTGAGGCCAGTTCTGGAGGCTGCTCTTCCCCCAGGGCCGCTGGTCGGTGCTCATGGGGAGCCTGAGTGCTCCAGCGGGGCCTGGGGCCAATCCTGCCCATTTCGAGGTGGGTGCTCTGGTTCTGGCCACCAGGTGCAGCCCCAGAGCAGTGCAGGGCCTGAGACCCTGTCCACTGCTTACCTTCTGAACCCTGGGGTTGCGGGGGGCGGCGGGAGCATTATCTTCCCATCTAGCAAGATGCGCCTTTAGTGCTCCGGGTATTTATCCGAGGGCATGTGAAGGATGCAGCCCCGTGTGCACAGAGCCGTCGGTAAGCTCCATGGAGCTGGGTGACGTGCAGGGGAACGTCCGCAGGACGATGCTGCCGGGAACATGCTTCATGGCTCTGTCAAGCTCCTTGTTTGCCCCGCGTCGGTTCCTTCCTCGTCGTCCACCCTTTCTTGAGATGCCAAAAGTCAGGGAGTGGGGACTGCACCTTTGGTCAAATTCATCCAGAGAGGGGAATGATAGCTCTGTGCGGCCTTTCCCAGCCTCATACCCTCAGAGGCTCAGCCCCAGGCAGCATGTCCAGAGCAAATGTGGAGGTTCCGCACTGAGGGTACCTTGAGGGAGGGGGCAGAGCACACGTGTTGGCCGCAGAAGGTCCCAGCTGGCAGCCCCAGGGCCTCTGGTTGGAAGAGATGGGTGGGGCGCTTCCCAGCTCCCTGGGGAGCAGCTGCCAGCCAGAGCAGGCAGCCCTTGCTAGGCTCACGGATTCCCCTCTCAGTCGAAGGCAGACTCCTCTGTCATCTTGTTTCAGGCAAAAAGGTGTTGGTCTTAAACGGAGGCTACAGGGGCAACGAAGCCATCTTAGAGTCCATCAACGAGAAAGCCTTTTCGGCAACCATAGTCATTGACTCTGTAAGTATCATCCGCTGCAGTCGCCAAGCTAGCGGGGCAAACCTCATTTGGTTTACGTGGCAGTGAGTCCCACCATATTCAGTGGGCCTTACTTCCAAGTGAGGAGTGCGTCAGATTCCCGCCTGAGCCCCGGCTTGAATACGTTGGCCAGAGACTGCCCTGTCTCCCTGCCGCCCTAAAATCAATGCTGGAGCTCTCCTGAGCCGCATTGCAGAACAGTCACATGCCTTAGAGAGGGGTGGCCTTTTCTTTGCTGCACTTGACCAGGACATTATTTTTCCGTTCTCTTTGAGGGTGCCTGACGTGTCCTGTCGTTAGAGCCCCTTCTGCACCGCGTGCCTCTTTGAGGAGCGTAGCCGCTCTCATGAGGCACCCTTTGCGACGACGGGTCTGTCCAGGATTTCCGTTTCTCTGAACTCTTTCCCCAGGGGCCTCTGAAAGGACGTCAGGTTGAGGGCGTCCCGTATGAAGACATCTCCAAGTTGGCCAGAGACAACTGAGAACCCTGATGGATCGCAGGAGACATCCCTTCTCTTCAGAATGCCAGTGCGCCAGACTCCACTGTGTCGGAGTTTCAATATTGTATATTTTGGAAAGCAAACTGGATTTTACAAAGCCACCTCGTTGTTAGTCATGGGCAGATCTTGTGCTGGAGAGGCTTCTGTATTTGTATGCATTGGCCTCAACTCTCTGGAAGCTTCTGGGTCATATGCTGCCAGCCATAAATGGCTGGACCCTTGCAGATGCTCTGTGGAACTCTCAGTAGCTTTTATTTCAGGCAATAAGCAAACAGAACTGGTTGTCTGCAAGTAGAACTGCACTTAGGATCCCCAGAGCATTGCTGAAGCTCCTTTCGGATCGGGACTGGTGCCTGTGTGTCTGGGCGGGAACCCCACACTGCTGGAGAGCGCCTGGTTTGAGGAAGGCTTACCTAACCTGGAGCTGCTTCTGACTGCTCAGGTACCCTCAGGAGAGTCCAACCACAGAATCTGCTCAGGATCTGGACAGGCAGCACGGGCTCCCCTCTGCGCTGGCCACCTTTTCCTGTCCCACAGCAGCTTTTTGTGACACTCAGGAAGCCAGATGGAGATGCTCCTAAGTCCTGGAGCAGCCGTCTCCGATCTGCTGCATGCCAGACATTCTGAACTACAACTCCCAGCTTTCCTGGCCATTGGCCATGGTGCCTGGCGATGATGGGAGTGGAAGGCTCGTGTACCTAGAGGACGCCAGCTTTGCAAGGCTACCCTGGAGCACCTTAGAATCTCCTGTAAATGGTCTGAGAGCCTGCTGCAGGGTTATCCCTCCCTGTGTGACTGCAGCAGGAGTATTAGTTTATGGCTGGAGGGTAGCAACTGCGCCATTTAATCTTCCTTTTTTCTGTTTTCCCATGTCACTGCACTTGCCTGAGCACCGGCATCATCCCCAACTTGTAAACAAAATGTATAGTTTGTATAATTAGTTGTACAGTGAATTTTTACTGCCATGTAGAAACGAGCAAAGGAATCTTTGTGGGTGTGGTGTTTTCTTTGGGCAACACGTCTACCCAGTGATGAGGCCTCTTCACCTACAGGTCTCTCTTTCAGCGACAGAAAGTGTAAAATGCATACCCGTGTGGATTTCTTTCCAGCATCCTCAATACTGTCAGTCCACCAGAAAGTCCAAATTTAATTTTGGAAAGGGATTTATTTTATTCCCACTTGGACTCAGATCTGACAGTAGGAGTGGACCCCCATGGCTGAGCCTCAATAACCATTCCTGAGCTGAATGAAGATTGCAGTCTCGCGAGTGATCTTAAGTCAGTATTTTCAAGGATTTAAAGTTTCTGCATTCCGATTTTGAAACCTGCACAATATTTGGTGGGCAAGAACCACAAAACGTGCAGGTGGAATACTTTGCCTGAGCACCTGTCTCTGGTGCTGCGAAGCTGGCTCCTACTTTCTCTTTTTTTCACTGTATGAAATTTCAACTTTTGAACTTCAGAGCCAAACATTCTTGTCTGGAACGCTGATAAAGTTTTGAATGTGAAATATTTAAATTATTCAAATTTTAAACTTGGGTGTGCCCTGTTTTTTAGAATTTTAGATCGTTGGTATCTACAGCCATGGACACCTTGTCCCCAGAAACTTCTGTGGCTCAGGTCCTGGGCGAAAGCAGTGGGAGTTTCTTGGTCTGAACTGACCTTCCATGGTCCACCTTCAGGAGTTTGGAAGTGATCTGTATTTATGTAGCAGCTTCAGGCATGGTTCTTTCTAGGGCGCAGCGCTCGGGGGATTTCGGTAGTGCCTCCTATTTATCCCACCAAGCCAACAGACACAGAATCAAGAAGCTGTGGGGAAGAATCCAAGCTTGGTGGCTGAGCCCCTACTTTGGATGCTGAAGGTCCACGGCTCAATTCCGAGCGTCTCCAGGTAGGGCTACAAAATAGTCCTGCCTTGCGGGAGCAGCTTTGGGAGAACTGGGGGCCATTCACACCTCTTCATGCACCCTTGTAGGCTGCTCCACCTCTTCATCCACACACAGGTGCAGAAAATGGGGAGAGTTAGGAAATGGTGTCTGTAGACTCGGACATCCTAAAGGAGTAACATTAGCAAACATGGTTTGCAAGCTAATCTTCACCTTTTGGGCACCTGCAGTGGCTGTGGACGCCATTTTATTGCTCAAAGGGGGGCTGCAATCTTTGTTTTGGGGCTCTCTCTGAACTTTGGGGATGCTGGGGGCTGCATGTTGCCCACCACTGGCCCAGCTCAAACCAAGATAGTCAGGTCTGTGGTCTGACTTAGGAGACAGCAACTTCCTATATTTCAGGCTGGGTCAGTACCGAGAATGAGGAGTTCTGCGTGCACCCATATAGGAAGGAACATCAGTCGTTGCCTTCTGTTGAGTCATTCCATTGGTCCATCTGGGCCAGTACTGTCAACAGTGACTGGCTGCATCTGTCTGGGGTTGCAGGTGGGATTCTTTCCTAGCCCTTCCTGGAGGTGACAGGCATTGAACCAGGGACTTTCTGCTCAGTGGCCGGGTTCAGACAGCATGATAGGCCATGGTGGTTTTTATCATGGTGGGTCTGTCGTGTTGTCCAAACCAAGTTGTGGGATTTTACTGTGGTAAGTTTGGTCTTTAGAAACCATGGTAAGCAATGGCTTGTTCTATTCTTTACCAGCATGGCTTGTCATGTTCCTTTAGCCCCGGATCACGGTTTCCACAGTCTTGGTATGCAGCTACCATAGAGTCCCCTGGAAAGAGTGTCAACTCCAGTGAGGAAGAGGCAGGGCACAATGCACCTTGGGACTGAACTGCAAGCACAGTGCTTGCTGGGATACATGCCAGCAGTGGGAGGACTGAGTGGGGAGGACAGAAACCACAATAACATAGAAGCCACTTGATCTTCTGTCATAAAAATGTGAACCATGATAATCATGTAGGGTTACTTATCCGTGTGGTGTGAATGCATCCAGTACAAGGCAGCTCCCACATCCCCATGCTAGCAAAGCATGTGCTCTACCACTGAGCTGCAGCCTTCTTCCGTCTAGCCACCATTTTTCAAGTAGAAGAAGGCACAGAGCTCAAGCAACTTGTACCGCTGATCATGTGAGAACCAGGTGCAGATACCTGAGGAGGTACAAGGCAACCTCCCCAGGATGCCCTGGCACAGGACTTGTCTGTCTGGGCCTACTTGCGTGGAAGGACAGAGGAGGAACAGCTCAGTCCCTGTGGGGCTCCTTCCGGATCATATACTCTGGTCTGAGAGGCAAGGACCATGCCTCCAGTACTTGAATAAATTGCACAGAACACATGATCCTAGCAAAGGGCCTTTTATTCCGCTTGAAAATAGGATTTTGTCCTGTCAGGAGAGTGAACGTCCAGTGTTCAGCAGCCGACCTTATCTGGGCTTCCTTCCAAACTTGGTGGCCCTGTCAGCAGCATCAAGAATAGTCATCAAGGATCCCAGATGTGAGTGGAGAACTTTGTCACCTTCAGGAAAAAATAGTTGGCAGGCCGTAGATCACCTCCCGATGTTTTTCTCTTGGAAAAGGTCGGCCACCAGAAAAGACAGGTTCGCCAGTGTGTTGCTGTGGAAACTGAATCGAGGCCTTGGCCAGTTAGAAGCAGGTTGTTTCTTACCCCAGGTTGCACCCGATCCCATCAAAGACGCTTCAGGTAGCTGTACAAAGTGGGGACGAAGTAGTCACTGTAGGAGCCGTCAAGGAAACCTTTCCCATTATTGTGCACAAACCAGCACTGAACGTTGGTTCCAAACACGCGATCCAAGCGGTAGTCCTTTTGCAGCCCTCTTGCATGGGAAACAAAAAACAAGGTTAGAATAAATGATAAAGCTGAATTGAAGAAGAGGTGGATGAGGGGAAGCTTTCTCAGCCTGGACGCAATCTTGCGGTGGTTTCCTAGCTTTCGTGTGCTTCTCCCCCACACTTACACACCCCTTTCTAAATGGCTGAGATGCTTCTTCTAAGGCGTAGTTACTGGTGTAAAGAGCTTTATGCTAAAATACCCTTTTTGCCACTTGTTCATGTTCTTGAACATGATCCCTTACCTGGTGACCGTGAGTTTGTGGCCCTTGACGTCCATGGTGGCTTCTGATTTCCCTGGGACTCGGCCAGGCCGTTCGTTGTAGACGCGCACATCTGGTTCGCGCATGAACTGACCTGGGGAATGAGTTTTGCAAACGGTGCGTCACCTTCCGCGTGCCGTGAAGCCACCCAGGGGTTCTGGGTAACTCGGCCTGTGCCAATCTCGTCCACATCCCCGGAAATGCTGAGCAGTGACTGCAGTCAAGACCTGCAGTTCTGCCGGGGGAAGATGCGAAAGAGGCGGTCCACACCTCCGCACCATCTCCTGCACGGTGGCCTTCAAAGCCCTTGACTGTCTCTTCATCTCTTCTCCAGCTAAGCATACCTAGTTCTTTCCACCGTTTGTTCACAAGTCTCCGTTTCCAGGCCTTCCGTCAGCCTGGCTGCCTCCCCTTTGAAGGCTTCCTCGCCTGAATGCCCTCCAGACGTGTGGAAATGCTGGCTGGGAATTACGACCCTTGAATCCAACACATCTGGAGGAAGGCAGGTTGAATGCAGGCCTTCAAACTGCATTCTGCTGTAACCACATTTTACAGGCTCTTTCCCTTGGTCCCTTCTGCCTCTAACTTGCCTCTTGGTCCCTTCTGCCTCTAACTTGTGAGCCGCCCTGAGGCTTCGGCGAATGGGGCAGCATAGAAATGTTTTAATAAATAAATAAAATAAATAAATAAACTTCTTTGTGTGGGCCACAAGGATGCTGGCAGGTTGGCAGGGAAAGCCATGAGACAAGACTGAGGGAACCGGGTCTTTTCAGCCTGGGGAAGAGGAGACTCCAAAGGGATCTGCTGGCAACATATAGGTACATGGGGGGTGTCACATGGAGGTGGGTAGAGACCTGTTCTCCCCTGCAGAGGAAGGCAGGACGTGCTCCAATGGAGCCAAGCTCAGGGAACCCAGGTTCCGTTTGGATGCCAGGAAGCACTTCCTGACAGTCAGGACCCTGAGAGTGTGGAATGGGCTTCCATGGGAAGTGGTTGAGGCCCCATTGGTGCGGGTGTTCAAGGATAGGCTGGGCGTCCACATGGTGGGCATGTCGTGAGCAGAGCCGGCTGGTGCCGGGGGTCAGACTAGATGGCCTGGGAGACCCCTTCTGACTCGCTCTGTTCCTGTGTTTCTATGTGTACGGTCTGTGAGAGCAGGGTTCAGGTGTGGGATGCACACCTGTGAAGTGATTACAACACCCACAGTCCTCTGAGAACTTTGTGACAGAATGCCATGATTCGGAAAGTAAACTACTTCCTCCAACCCAAATGGGATCGTCCTTTCTACTCCTGCTTTGACGTTTTCGTGATCCTTTCCTCTCCCCGCAGTAGTTCCCTGTGGTCGTATCTGCCACGTGTCCCCGCAACAGCATATTGCTGCCTCCCAACTCCAGAACGCTTTACCGATGAGGCCATGGGCAGCCGCTGAGAAGTTGTTTGTAGGCGGAATATAGAGACCCAGGAAGTCAACATGGGCAGGATGCTTCTTCCACACACGGTGAAGCAAAACCATGAAGGACGAGTCCCCGTCAACGGTGAGGGTGACGTTGCTCTCTTTTGCCACAGAGATGCGCAATCTGGGATACATAATTCAGCCAGCAGGTGAGTGCCATTCTTAGATCCCAAGTTGGAACCATCTTATGGGCCTGCCCAGGGCCCGTGGAACCTAGCCGTAGCCCGAGGGCCTGTCAAGAACTTCCTGGTCGGAATGGGAGGACATCACCATTATACACCTGAGCTCCCCAAGAAGAAGCGGTCTCCCAGCCAGGTGGCGCAACTGTGGCTGCCCTGACCCTCCCCGAGCTGAGACCCCCCAGTTGCCCTCAGCTCTGTTGGCTGGGGTCCTGTATCTCACTGGGATAGGCTTGGCTAAAGTTACCCAGGTAGACAGGCCAGGCCTGGGTTGAAAACCCTCAGGGTTCATCAGCCCCCTGATGAAGCTTGCCAGTTTCCCCTTCAAGAGGCAGACCTTTTTATTCAAACGTTATTTTAATTGTTAATATTATTTATTTTATGCTTTGGCCAGGACGACTTAATTTATATTGTTTTATAGGATGTTATTTATTTATGTTTGTGAGCCGCCCCGAGGCTTCGGCAAATGGGGCGGCATAGAAGTTCAATCAATCAATCAATCAATCAATGTGCCCAGCCCAGGCCTGATGCGCCGGTTGTCCGGGCCTCTGCTCACCTCCTCCGAATGAGGCTTCCGGTATCAGACCAGGAGAGAGACGTGCTGGAGAGGCCATCCTTCAGGGTGATGGCATCCGTGCTGACCTCGACCTTCAGGCGTCTGTCTTCAAAATAAAACCCGATCTTGCCAAAGTAGGTGCTCAGTTTATTGTTCACCCTCTTCTTGGCCCCCACGAGCTGCCCGTTGACAACAATTCCTGCAAAACAGGCAAGTTCTCGGAGTCCTTACAGTGTTCAACATGGCGTCCCAAGTGGTTCTCGCACATTAGTGGGCATGTCCTGGGGTTGGGAAAGCAGGTCTGGAGAGTTCGAATGACACTTGGAATATGCAGCGACTGGATTTCCATGCACGCATCTACTGCCAATTGCAAGGTGCCAGAAAGAACATGCTTGTCTCCAGGTGAACCGAGTTATAGAACTGTGGGGGAACAGGTGGGGGGTGGGGTTATCCTGTTAAATTTTCCTGCAAACAATGATTTCAAATTTATTTCATTTTGGTGCCCAGGCTGGTATAATAGCAATGAATCAATACCGGGGAAGCAGCCCTTTTCAACTATTTGCTCCCAGGTCCAATTCAAGTTGCTAGTCCTTAGCATTAGAGCCCTATGTGGCCTGAGGGTCAAGTACCTGGAGGGGCACCTTGCACTGGGCCTGCAAGGAGTCTCCTCTCCTCTGTGTACTTTTTTGTTCTGTGGCAGCTACGGAAAAAGGCCTTTTCTGTTTCTACACCCTGTTCATGGAACAGCCTTTCCAGGCAACCAAGTCAAACTTTTCTTTTTTCCTGGCCATTTTCAGTTGGATAGTCTTTTCTGCTATCTTTTAATGCTGTTTATGACTGTGTTTTACTGCTTTGGGGTGCAAACTTATGCATGTCTAGACGGGGGGGGGGGGGGAAATCCTACAACATCCAGCAGGGAACTCTTTTAGGGCTTTGGTCGAACACAAAGGGGCATCCCCTTTGCTGCATTTTGTGGCTTTTAAAATAAATGTTTATTGTTCATCACCCTGATGAAGATGGTTTATAAATACCCTATAAAAGCAAAAGAATTTCAAATGCAGAAATACAGAAATAACAATAACGTTTAAAGGAAACCATCAATGTTTCAAAACAGTGCAAAGTCTGTTTCACTTCGACCGCTTCTCGGCTCACTCAGATTGCTCTTCCTTTTCCCCCAGTTCCTCATACCTGTCATAAGAGTTCCCTGACCCCCAGGAGCGGTTTTGGGGGGCATGGGGGATGTGGGAAGGAAGGCCGAAACCATTGCAGTTCTAGATAAAAACCACGGTCCACCAGCAGTACAATTTGTCCTTGAGGAGCCTAATTAGTTTTTGCTCTCGCTTCTGCCGTTGCTTGACTCGATGTGCCGTTCACGCTGCATCTTCAGGCGTCAAGTACCGTCTGGCTCAGGCTCCAGCTGGTCAGATCCTGCCCTGTTCCCCTCTAGCCCACCAGGGCTTTTCTACCCGAGGTGGTGAATTGGTGGTACTTTGTTTCATCATGGAATTGAGACCTGAGTGCTATATGAAGAGTGTGGCCCTTCCTGCTTTTCCACCACACAACCTCTAGGGGGCACTGTGGTATCAGCATACATGCAGAAGAGGCCAGAACGTTTTCTTTTTTCTTTTACAATTAAATGCTGCATTTTCCCTGCTCTAAGGCGCTAATGTTTTTTAAAAAGAACGCAGAAGTGGTGGGCTACAATGCAATCTCAAGAACCCACAAGCAAGTGTGAGCACATCATAAATGTCTCAGATAGCACAGCCTTCAGCTCCACTCCTACTCTGTTCTCCAAATGCTACCATTTCACACCTCTTTCTAAACATAGAAGACTGGACTTTTCTCTTACCAGATGCAGCATCTGAAATTAAATTCAGGATTGTGCCAGGCTCAGAATCTATATTGAAGCAGATGTTCTTCTGTTGCCTTGGTAAATTGATGATAAAATGAGGATCGTTGTCCACTGGAAGACAAAACGAGGTACGTATTTGATGAAGAAGGCCAAGGGCATTTGCTAGAGACATGCTTTTTATTGCAGGGGGTAGGATACAGACTGGTCATCTGTTATATTGATTTCTGGAGGCAAAAAGACTTATTCCACAAAGAAGGACCACCAGGTGGCGGGCTCTAAGTGGTATTTATGGAGCACGGACCAAGGGTCATCACGGAATACCCTAAGTACAAACAGAAGGGCCTTTTCCACGGGACTCAACACTGCCTGCTTTCAGCTACATACAGAACTGAGCATGAAGAGCGTACAGGCCAAAGCTTGTCCATGAAGGAGGAGAGCAAGTATTCTGTGGGGTGGAGAACAAAGTAAGAGAGGAGGATGATGGGCATCGAGAACTCCAGCTCTTCGAGACTACATTTCCCCATTACTCCCACCCACGACATTTCTTTAAACGCCCTCCCTTCTGTAAGGGGCCATTCAATCCTATCAAGTCGGCTCCGTCTTCAGAGATGGCTCTTCTAAGGAAGTGGGGAAGAAGTGTCCTTGCAGTGGTTAGTGCTTGCGGCACTTAAATCGCAAGGGACTGACGGCCGTTTTGTGACTATCTGCAGCTGAAGAAGGAATTCCTCCTCTGCTCGCCCGGCCGGTCGCCAGCAATGGCAAAGCAACCAGGACGGGATGGAGTGGGGGTGTCACACGAGCTGATCCAGCTGCCTGGCAAAACCTGTCCCTTCCCAGTGCCCCTTCTAGACTATTTATAAAAATGCATGGGTTTTTAATTATATTAATGTATGCTTTGTTTTTATTCAGTTATTTTGCTGAGATTGTATTGTATTTATTTGGTATATTTTAACATTTTCTTGATGTTATTTGTTGATTTTATACTGTAATGGCTGCCAGAGAGCATGAGGTTAATGGGTGGCTTAACAAAGGTTAACAAATGGTTAACAAATCTAATAAACAAATAAATAAAAGGTTAATGGGTGGCTTAACAAAGGTTAACAAATGTTTAACAAATCTAATAAACAAATAAATAAAATCCTGAGCCTTCTCTCAAGCTCCTCAAGGGAAGGAGTTAAAGAGCATGCAGAGGGGGCTTAGGGAAAGATCTGATTTGCTCACACCCGACGATGCATTTCATGTTTGCAACTGGATGTTCTGTGCTGAGCAACACAACCCCACTGCCCCGCTCGTTCTCCAGCGGAGAACGAGAAATGGCATTGTAGGGGGGAAATGCAAAATTGGAACACAGTGCTCCAGTGCCTGGTAAGTCAGACCCAGTTCTGAGTCCACAGATTTGTCTCTGAACCACTTTGGTTTGTCATAAAGTATGAATTTTGCAAGTGAGGCCAGAGATCCTGGATGGCTTGAAAAGGGGACTGGACAGATTCATGGGGGAGGAGGCTATCGGTGGCTACTGGCCTTGCTGGCCCTGGGCTCCCTCCTTGACCAGAGGTGCCTGCCTGCCCACACCGATTGCTGAGGAGCTTGTGCTGGGGGAGGTCCTGGCCCCATCCTGCGGGAGGGATCCTGCGGGCAGCTGGTTGGCCACCCTGTGTATTTAGTGATGGACCAGATGGCCCTTGGGTCTGACCCTGCAGAACTTTTCCTTTGCTCTGATGACCTTCTTCTGGGTGGGCCTGGTAGATGCAGGCACCTATGCAGCCGCCGGAAAATCCCGACATTCCTCTCTCTCAGAGCAGCCCTTTCCAACCCAGTGCCTTCCAGCTGTTTCAGAACGATTGCTTCCAGCATTCCTGACCGAAGGCCATGCTGGCTGGGATGGATGGGAGTTGTAGTCCAAAACATCTGGAAGGCAGCAGGTTGGGCAGGCCTGTATGATATCATTCTCCAGATTTTAGGACCGAAAATATTTCTGTCCTGCTTTGCAGGCCCTCAGCAGTGTTAACTATTTCATGGCAAACATGCAACCATTAAACCAGGCACCAAGAAGCACAGTCAGTGATAAAGGAAAGAGAAAGGAAAGGAAGGATTCTCCTCCTCTGCCTGAGAAACACTAAAGCAGCCCTCCAACGTTCATGTCCTTCCCTAGAGAAACAGGGACGCCTCCGTTGCGTCCTCCTGCCCCCCAAGTAGGAATTCGCCAGGACACACCAGTGGGCCTGCTTGCAAAGGTGGTGTGTCCCCCGCACTACCTGAAGAAGCAAACACACGTGCACCCAAAGTATTCTCTTCCTTATTCTTATCCCAGCACCTGTAGATGATTTGAAATGAGCTGGAACCGGAGATAAAATGCCTTCTGCACGTTGCACGGGGCAGAGCTGCCTGTTGCCTTCCCTTTGCAGGGGCTGGGTGGGACTCAGCACCTCTGCAGACGTGCCCCACGAGGGCATGCCAAGTGCTTCTATCTCAGAGGGAAGGAGGAAGCTTTACGGAGGGGCGTGGTGAGCAGGAGAGCCGTGAGATGCAGGGGAGGAAAACCAGCTGCGGTCTAATCTTCCGGGAGGCAATCAAGTCAGGTGCCCTGAAAGCATGGGAAAGCAGGCTTCTAATGAGGAGGAGGAGGGAAAAACGAGCCTCGAGAATTAAGCACCAGATGAAAAAGGATCCGTGATGCCAAGCTGTGTGGCACTCAAAGAGACTTTGTCAGGAACCACAGAGCGATGCAGCGCCCCTGGTGGCCTGACAGAGAAGGCAGCCTGGCCCACCCTGCAAGTACTTGCAGGATTCGCATCAGATCTATAGGTGCTTGCAGGGTTAGCCCCAGAGCAGTCCTGCAGACCAGCTGCGAGCCACAGGTGGCATCATAAAAGGCTTCCTAGACTGGCTCACATTTGAAATAAATAGCCACCTGTCTCTTTGTGGCGGCAGTGTCCTTGCCTGTGTTTTCCTCAGAGGGCCTCATAGGCAGCTGAATTTAGTCTGCTCACCTGAGGTTTCGCACCCCTGTGCCTACCTGTGGTCTACTTATAACAAGGTAAAAGCTTTCCTCTTTGCCCTGAAGATTTAAAAGGATGGGAGGCTACATTGCCGCACCACTGAATCTGGTGCAGGCCTGCCCTAGCCCGAAGAGGTAAACGGGAATAAGAGAAATATGTTCTACCTGAATGTATGCGGTTACTGCCTGCTGGGTTCTTTGCAGCCTTACCCAAGGATGTGGAATTATCAGGCCTGGATTGCCCTAAAATTAAAGGTCCTGTGATGGAAGAAGATGGGTGAAATTTAGTTATCCCAGGGATCAGCCACAGTCTCTGACATGCATTTCAGCCATGCGACCACCTCTGTGGGGATGATATTGGGGATTTATACCAGTTTCAAAGCAGCCCTTTTATTTCTGCCATCTTGATTCAGCCTGCAGCCCTCACTTTGAGTTCCCGTCTGTCTCGAGGGCCTCGGAGCTAACAGCGGGCTGTGCGGCACCGGCAAACCCCGAGATCAGCATTTCTTCACTGCACAGCTAAAAGGTGCTCATGCCGTGCCTCGAACGCCTATGTGCTTTTGCAGTGGCACTCCTCGAGCGTATTTATTCTGTTCTCCCTCCATCCCTCTTTCTGTGCAAACCCAAATGCATGCATTTCGCTTCCAAAATGCTGCAATTGCACTTGCGTTCACATGGCCCTCATGTTTATATCATCGGAGCAGAACGCCATCCCTGCCCTTCAAGGGCTGTATCAACTTCCTGCTGAAAGTGTGTGTTGAAATCTGCAGCCCCCACAGGAAAAATGGATCACATGCACCCTCTCCTCCTATTTGGCTTTCCCTTGATGCTCCTGACGGTGAATTATACAAGGGGTAGGCAGAAGGTGGATATCCAGATGTTTCAGGCCAATTCCCAGCATTCCTCACCTTTGGCTATGCTTGCAGGAGTTAGAGTTCAATCTTCCGGAGCTCTCCCTTCTAGCTAGTCCCTAAATTATGATATATGGATTTGCAACAACGAGAGAGCAATCAAAAGGCCTCTCCGAGAGTGTTCCAAGGACCACGGGGATAAAAATTCTTCACGGAGGCCTTAGGCACTGCTGTTGGGGAAGGGAAATGGAAAAGGGGCTTTCTCCCACCCCTTGCATCACCAGCTTCGCTCTGCTCCTAGATCAGCACAGAGACAGCCATCGGAGAGGAATTCTGAGCCAGACCTACTGGCCGTGAGAGCCAGGAGGAGAGACAAGCCCCAGCTGCCTTCCCCAGGGGTCCTCGTGCCTCGATGCCGCTCTGTTTCTCATGGGCTGGGACGTTTTGATTGGCGGGTGGGAGAAAATTCTATTAGCTAATCAGATTCTCATTCAGAAAATCTGCCCGCCAAGATTCCTTTGCTATACTTAGAATCATAGAACAGTAGAGCTGGAAGGGGCCGTGAAGGCCGTCCAGTCCAACCCCCTGCTCTGGCAGGACCCCATGTTCCACCATCCCACTCAGGGGGCTGCCCAGTTCCTTTCTGAGTGTCTCCAGTGTGGGAGAGCCCCCCACCTCTCCGGGCAGCTGGTCCCGCTGCCGTCTTGCTCTGACAGTGAGGAAGCTTTTCCTGATGTCCAGCCTGAGCCTGGGTTGCCGCAACTTGAGTGGATTATTCCGTGTCCGACAGACTCAGACTCTCTCCAGGAGCCTTGTTTTCCGTCACACGAAATGTTTTGGGGCTGGCTGAGATGCACACCCATGGTGCACAGCACATTCCTGGGCCAGGACCCGGCTGGGCTAAGGCCTGGGTGGGACGGAGGCAGCCCCTTCCCCTGCCAGGGTTTCTTCTTACAAATCCCCCCGGAACAGCTACGCTGAGGAAATGCCGATGAACGTGAACAGGAAAGCCAGTCCAACGTCTGTTACCTGCACGCACGGTAGACAAAGTTGGACCAATGACGGCAGCTAAAGGACCCCCTGTTTTTGCGGTGGGCTTCACCCAAGATGGGACGGGATTGCCAGTTGGTGCTTGGCCAATTACTAAGGATCCTGTTTAGATAAATGAAGAAGATAAATGTTATGCATGATTAATGCATTGCCCACGAACTGTATGGGATATTATTATTACTTGGTTCTTTAAATTATGTAACTTTTCCGTATTTTCTGGTCCTTTATTCACACCTGCCTTCCCCATCATGGCTCTTCCAGGTGGGTGGGACTACAATGCTGATCTTCCAGCCAAAAATGCTGTGGAATTTTTTTTAAAGTATAGTCACTTATTATGGCGTCCCTAAGGCCCCCAAGGAGCGCAAAAATTGCAAGCAGCTGCCTTGATGCAGGTCAACAAAACACTCCCAGCAGTTTTCCTCTCCAGAGGCACCAGGTCTTTTGGCTCTTAGTAGCCCAAATATTCTGCACCGCAACAAGGAAGGCTACCTGGGTGGGGAAATTCATGTCCCTTGCAGGGAGGCTCAGGCCAACAGGGCGCCCTCGGGGTGCTGTGACATGCAGTCAAGCCAGCGCAGACTTAGGGCGCCCCTACGAATTAAAGGGCCCAGAACGCCTGGCGCTTGGCAGCCCTGCTCAGCTCATGCACCCTCGGGGGCTTCCTTTATGCAGCCGATGCGTCTCCTGCTTGCTCCTCCTCCTCTTCTCTGGCTCCAGCTTTCTCCCGCACGATTATCTCCTCCAGGGAACGGTGCCTTCTCACGACGTGCCCAAAGCATATCAGCCTCCCTTTTGCCATCTCTGCTACCGGCGCACGTTCTGGACTGGCTTGCTCTAGGACCCCCTTGTTCATCCTTCTGTCGGTCCAGGATACGTGCAAAGCTCCCCTCCAGCACCAGGTTTCGGATGCCCCCGTATTCTTCACTGTCCCGCCTTCACACCACACAGGGCGCTTGGGAACACCGCACTGTGGGTGATCCTGATGAAACATCCTAATGCTGGCGCTTCTTTTCCCGTCGGTTCATGGCTGTCTCCCAGGTCTCGATCTTCTTCGGACGGCTTGCCTGCAGCCTCCATTTGAGCGGATGGCTGCTCACTGCTAGTACGAAAAACATTCTGGTGTCGCACCACTGCAACCCAGGCTCAGCAGCATCACTAAATCCAGACCCACCTGAAGGATGCCAGGTCGTGTGAGGCCGATTGCGCTCATGACCACTCGCCCCAGGGGGAAGGAGGACAGAAGCATCGACCGCGTGAACTCGGGGTGATGGTTTTGCAGTACTGCTGCAAGGAACCCCAGAGAGGCTTGGTCCCGGCATTGCTGTGGATGAGGAGGGCATACGGTGCGGCCCTCCATATCCAGAGAGTCAAGGACCGGCTGATGGGCAGCCATCAAATCTGCAGGTGCCACGAGGGCCAGAACGTGGCCTGGCCAAAAACTGTTTAGGCAGCCACGCTCCTTCCAACTCTCTGTCTCCCTCTACCCACCGCTGTGCTGATGGCTCCCCCGCTCGGCCCATTCCCTCCACATATTCAGGCCCCCTGCCGGGAAGAACTTCCCCAGCAGGGGTCTAATTCCAAAGCCCTGCATTGGTGGAAAGAGCTGCAGGCAGTCTCCAGGAGTTGATCTGGAAGGGTCAGGGTCTGAAGGGGAAGAGCCATGGGGCAGGAACACTTCGGTTTGTGCCCCTGGCTCATCCCTGAAGCAAATGAGAGGCGGGGATACCTGCAGGATTTGGGCAGAAAGAAACCCATGCTTTGCTGCTGGACTCGTCTCCCTCAAGGTCCCACAAACACTCCAGCCATTGCAAGCAGATCTTTATCCTTCACCAGATCTCGCTTCCTCCGGGATACGCCATTCCACGCCGTAACCCACTTTCCCGTTGTTTCAGCTGAGATTCTGTGGCCACTGAACACCCTCGGCAGACTATTCACTGGGCTCGGGTCCCCCCCTCAAGACCCCTTCTAGAGATTTGGGGAGGTTGGTGGAGCCCCCGCTGCAGACCCGAGCGCATGGATGTCGTCTCCTCGTTTCTCAGTGGCTGCACTTTGACTAGAGCCCTGCTTCCACCTGGCTTTCCCCCTGGAGCAAATACGAATGCTAATCGTGACTCTAATAAGACTAATAGTAATCCATGACCGACAGGTCTCTACCTCACGGGGCGTATGTTCTGGAGAGCAACAGAAAGGACAGCAAAGAGGAGGGAAAGAGAGAATGGAGCAAACAGGAAGAGAATACACAATGTTTTGGTTCTGGAGATGGATAAGTATCTTTTCTCCACTGGCAGCCTGCTTATCACAACAATGAGTGTTTTGCTGGAATAAAAACTACAGAAGCCACGTGAATAATTGTGTCCTTGTCCCATTAAAAATGGTCTTCACTAATTAAGCGTGTGAGTTTTAGGGCTTTTGTACATTAGCAATTCATCCTGTGGGATTCCTGAGGCTTCCTTTTCCATTTTCATTGGGGGAAAAGTGTGTGTCCTTTCCATGGTTCCTTCTGGCCAATTCCTCGGCCTTTCCATATATCTTGCTAGATAACTGAAAGGCGCTACAGCAGAATATGGCTTGCTGGGGCACTCCAGGATCTGTAGGAACTGTTTCTGTTTAAGTATGCCAAAAACTGCACCCTTCCTATATATTATTATGTATTTGTTATATTTTTATCCCACTTGCTTTTCTCCCAAGGTTCGCAAGGCTGTTTTTAATTCTCCTCCTGCTGTCAGTCATATCCTCATAACAACAACCCTGAGAGGTAGGCTAGGTTGAGAGTTTGTGACTGGCCCAAAGTCACCCAGTTGGCTCCATGGCTGAGCGGGGACTCGAACCCAGATCGCCTGAGTCCCACACCCGTGCTCTTAACCACTACACCGCACTGGCGAATCGATAAACTCTTTGGCTAAACGAGCACCCCCTTGCTCAAGAGAGCAGAAATGGTTCTGAACGAGGAGGGATACCTTAATTTAGATCAATGGCAAGCTACGTGTGGACAGCCAGATCATAGAATCCTAGAACAGTAGAGCTAGAAGGGACCTTTGGGCCATCAGGCCCAACCCCCTGCTCAGCACCGGACTCCAAGCTAAACCATCCTGCTCAGCTGTTGCTGACTTGCACACCCATTATCCTTGACCTCTGGCCCTGATTGCAGGGTTAATGGAGTCCAGACACCTCTGGGGGGGTACATGCCTCTCAGTCCTGCTTTAGACTGGTGCATCTGTCCCAGCATGCCGTGTTCTTAGAAGCGGTATTTCAACGTCCTTCTCATTCAGAAGGAATGCCTTTCGTCAGATGTTACTCACCAACCTCATTTTATACATCAAGAGAGGCGTAATAGAAATGTAAAGACTATGTGTTTGTGAAACATATAATTTTGGTTTTCAGAGACAGCTGCTGCCCAATTCATTGGCTCAGTTGTTAGCATCAGATCTGGTGAATGCTTGAAAATAAGTCCCTCTGAGGTCCAGTGAAATTTATTCCCATCAGGAAGGAATTCTGTCAGACTATCACTCTGTGTAGCCTTAGGTCAGTTTGTATGCCATTACCCTGGAATAAGTCCCATTAAATTCCATAAAATTTACTTCTGAGTAGACATGCGTAAGATTGCACTGTTAGTAAATCAGCATTTTAAAGCAATGGATTCTTACATTGAACATTGCAAATACGCTTCCTCCTTCTAGTAACGACAGGAATAATAGCAAAAGCAAAAACTTTCCCTCTCCTTGGAATTTAAGTTCTCTTCCCCATCACAGGAAAACACGAAAGAGCCTAAAACAGGAGCTTGTCTTACCCTCGTGCACAGCTGCTGCCGTGGGACCCATGAGAAGAGATAAGGTATCCTTCGTTTTGGGGGTGGTTTTGGCCCAAGAGGGGATGGAATTGTCAGGTTTCGGCTGGCCGATGGTTAAAACACCTGATTGGGGAGAAAAAGAATGAAATTAGGGTGGAGCTGAGCTGCACAGCAAGGACCGGAGACAGTGAACTGGGCCGACCTGGGCAGCAAGCCCTTTTGCGGTCTTGCGGTGAGTCCGCCAGCATCAGCTCTTCTCCGTCTGGGCTTTCAATCAACATGGCCGTGTAGGGAGTCACGATGTGATGGTCCAGGGACATCTGCAAGATGGACTTTGTGATGTTCCTCTTCAGGGCAGCTGTTGGAGCCAAGTTCCTGCATGGTGTGAAAATACCAGCCACTTGTTCAAGGATGGACGCCCGAAGTTTCATTAGATTTTGTCGTATTTACATGCTTTCCCCAAAGATTTGGGAAAGGAGAAACAATCGAATAGGCTAGGTAGAAGATGCTATAAAGCAGGGGGTGGACAACCTGGTATGCTCCAGAATTTTGGACTACAGCTCCCATAATCCCTGACCAAGGATTCTGCTCATTGAGGCTGATGGGAGTCAGAGTCCAAAATATCTGGGGGACACTAAGTAGGTTACCTCTGCTGTGAGACCCAGAAAACATTGTCTGGGTTCAACTTTCCAACATTTCAGAGCTGAGTTGACCATGAGGGAGACTGAAGAGGAGTCTAGGAGACTAAACAGCCCCATTCTGCCCTACGCCAATGTTTTTATTCTAGACTAGGTGCAGGATCCTAATACTGTTAGGTACAAAGCAGTGTTTGTTTTGGCTGCGAAAGCTGTCTCAGATGGAGACTGGGGGTGCCAGAGACAGTAGGCCTTGATAACCGCTCTTTCCAGGTCAATATAAAAGCTGGACGGGGCGGAGATGAGCCAAGATGGTGGCCTCTTCCCATCTCATCTAGCCAACCCAGTCCAAATGGCCGCTGGACTCCACACAAGCAGCAGGATAGTGCCCTCTACCACTCCTGAGCCCCCCAGCTAGTTTAGGAGGCCAAAGTCTGGATCGTGTGGCCCATGCAGTGGTGTCGTCAGCAAAGGAAAGCAGCCAGAGAGCTCAGGAGGAACATCAAGCACCATCTGCCACTTGAGGTGGTTGCCTCGCAACAGCTGGTACCAGAGGGCCTTGACGGTGACCGATACCACGCTTCTAACTGAAGCCTGTTCTCGTGCTCTCTTTTTGTCGTCGCACTGAGTCGTCCATTAGATCGTGGCAACCTGTGTATGCGTCCGTACTGAAAACAGACAGGGGAGCCCCCACCAGCGTGTCCCTCACCGCTGTCCTGTCTCCCTGCTCCACAGAACCCACAGTACCACCTCCCTCAAATTAGCGCCCTGCTGAAGGCTGGGACTTCAGCTCCCATAAAGTGAAGCGCAAGCTCTATGCATGACTGAGGATGATGGGAGCTGCAGTCCAACACACTGCAAGGGCTGGGGAAGAGAGCCACTGGGGTAACACCGACTATCGCCAGGGAAGGATCCCAGCCAGCAATTCTGTCCTGCAAGGATAACGCACATTTTCTGTCTCTCCTCCAGAAAGATTCTAAGATAGAACAGGCAACATGTGGCCTACAGTTCCCATCAGCTGTAGCTGGTAGTAAGGAATGATGGGAGTTGTAGGCCAACACACCCAGAGGGCCAAACGTAGTTCACCTGCATTCTATGCAATCCAGTGGATTCCTTCCTTCTCACCTCTCAGCCATAAGTTGATTGATGGTAATGTAGGCCCACAACTTTTCAGTGAATTTGGGGTCGGCGTGAATATCGTTGTTCAGGAATTCATCCAGTCCCTCGACATCTTCCAAGGTCTCCAAGACTAACTGAGCATTGGACTAGGTAGCAAAGAGAAGCCAGAGACAGAGCATGCATGGTGTCCGCAGTTCCAATCAGATGCTTTATGAGATTCTCTTAGGACAGCCTTGCTCCACCTGGTACTCTCCAGATTTATCGGACTACAATTTCCATCATATTGGTTGAATAAGGTGGGATCTGTATGCTCACACATCATGAGAGCACCAGATCATGGAAATGCTGAAAGGATTGTCTTTGTTGTTCCATCCATGCACCTGGCCTGAACAACAAGGACAGCAGGAGATGCAAAGTCAAAGCTTCTCCACACTTACAGGGGTTCTTTCTCTTGGAAAGACACCAATCTCTGATCCTCTTTCACAAACTATTTTAAAGCTTCCTGTGCTAGCTTTTGGTACTCAGGCTTAACTCAGTCGTTTTTAGCTTACGTTTGATTTATGAAAAACTTTAGTTGGCTGTTAATTGTTTGTGTTTTATACCATGTCTGACCTTCGGCCTTAAGACATAGGTTGGCTAAAAGTCCAAGTGTACCTGCACAGAAGCAATTAATCACAATGAAAAACATTAACAGGAATCTTTTAAGTCATTGAGTACCTACCCTTAAGCTGGTTCAATGGGAGATTTCTTTACATGATCCAATCAGAAGCTGAAGCAAGCAAGTTGCAAGTGGAAGAAAGAGACCCTAGTTAATCAGGGTCTCCTGACTCAAGCTGGCCTTATGTGGTGCCTTCTGAGAAGTACTATTGATTCATTTTATTTACAGTATATCTCCACTTTTTTCCTTTCAAGGAACTCAAGGCAGCTTATATAATTCTCCTCCTCCTTTTGACCTTATCCTCATAACAAAACCCCAGTGAGGTAGGTTGGCCTGAGTCTGAGAGAGACCTAAAGCCCCCCAGCGGGCTCCATGGCAGAGTGAGGACTTGAACCCAGATCTCCCGAGTCCCAGTCCTACGCTCTTAACCACTCCACCACACTGGCTTTCATGTCTTCTTCAGGTAGATATTCTAGTGCACCTTCTCCAATCTGGCTCCCTCCAGGTGTTTTGATCTATGACTCCCATCAGCTTTGATCTTTGGTCATGTCGGCTGAGAATGATGCAAGTCCAAAACATCTGAAGGAACCAAGGTTGGGGGGGGTGTTGTAGTCTCACCCTGTGGAAACCCATTAAGAGAAAATGTTCACCAGCAGTAAACACTTGCTCTGCTGAACGTGGGCGCTAGATCTTGGAATTCCCAAAACGGATAGTGTGGGAGATGACAGAAGCCCGTGGATAACGGGAGAATCTTTGGAAGTCTGGCTTGCCTGTAGGATCCAAAGTTTCTCCATCACAGGTCTGAGAAAGCTTTGATCATTTATTTATTTAAAAATAACAAATGTACCAAATTTGTACATTTTTATATTGTACCAAATTAACCTAATGGCTGTCAGGGTGGTTTACAATTTAAAAAGCAACAACAAACCTACTAACAATAAAAAGCACAATGTAATGACAATCCATCAAATAATCCGCAATGATAATAAAAGAAAAAATAAACTAAATAAATAACAAATCCAATCAATCAATCAATCGTCAATAAAACCAAATAATCCCAAACTGTATACATATACCAAGCTTGGAAAAGAGAGAGGAGGGCAAACTTGTGTACTCACGGCAGTGGCTGTGATCACACTCTGTAAGTGTTGTACATTCACAGTGTCCACCTTCCCGGCTACCACAATCTCTGACCCACCGAAATAGTTCTGGAAGGTGTTGTGCGTCACGTCGGACACCAGACCCTGGGGGTAGTTGAACTCCAGTTTTTTGAGCAGCGGCGTAGAGACCTGGTTGTAGAATTTCTGCAAGTGCCAAAGAACAGCTTGATTTTAGGAGCGTCTTGCACCCTGCCTGAGATGCTTCCCTGAGTTGGATCCCCTAAAGTGTACGTCAGAGTTCTCCAGTCAGAAATGCATACAAAATGTGGATATTAGGAAAATAAGAAAAATCCACGATGTGAGGAAATTTGTTTGCAAAAAGTGTATATTAAATGCATTTGCATCAAAATACCTACATGTGTTCATGCAATTTTTTAAAAATTATTTCAACATTTGGAATGGACTGAATGGACCTACTGGAAAAATAAGAATCTCGGAGAAATATTGGCAGAGTTGTTCATTCTTACTCATGATAACCGGATGATTACATTTCAGAATAAATGTTTTATCTCTTTACAGAAAGAACACAGAGGTACCTATGTTCTGAGAAATGCAACTGCTATAAGGGGAATAAAATATCCATTTTCCTTCTGTCTTTCAACTGGCATTTTCTGTAATTGTATATTATATTTACAGTATTTATGTACTGCTGCACATCCAAGCAGTGATTCTGCAGCAAAGTTAAAACAGATAAAAGAGTTAAAAGGGTCCATTACAAACAAGGTAACCTTTGGAAGTTGATGGGTCAGCCCAAAGGCTTCCCAGAACAATGCAGGTGCTGAAACCACACAGTGTCTGTGCCGGACTGATCTCCAGAGGCAGAAAATTCCACGAAAATTGGTCCATGCACTGCAGGTTCTTCTCATGGCGGACACCAGTGGAGACATGGGCTGGAACCACCAGGAGAATGTCCTTCAGTGCTGGGCAGGTTGCTAAGCGAGAAGGTACTCTTCCAGGTATTCTGGTTCCCAGTTCTTCAGGGCTAGATCCTTAAACCTGGCCCAGAAGTGAACAGGTAGCCAGTGCGGCATTTTCAGCAAAGGAGTTGGATGCTGAAAAAGGGCAGTTCCCCGCGGCAGCCAAACTGCCCTAGCTCCGGCCTCTCGAGTACCCTTACGGCTTTATACGGTTAAATAAAAGAGAAACACGCCTTCATCTGAGAAGAGGTCTCCTGATTCCCAAAAATTCGTTGTGCCATGCCATTGTTTTCATGGGCCAGTCTCTTCAGGAAATCATAATCCACGTCAAATCCAATCCCAAGACAGAACAAAGAGATGTCATCTTGAATATGCTTCTTCACGTTCTTCTGAATTGTCGGCAGCTTCAGTTCGCCTGATGGAAACAGAAAGGAGAAAGAGGGCAGAATTCCTCCTGGGTGTTCCTCCCCCCTCCCCCCTGGAAAAAAAATCCCCTAGGTTTTTTCCATGGTATTTTTTCTCCACTTTAGTTTTAAGGATGCAAAATGGAAGCCTGAATCTGGGATTCATACCAACAGTAGGATCTCCATCGGACACCAGGACAATCATGGATACAGAGTTCGGATCCAGCATGCCAAATTTGTTGGCTTCATTTAAAATAAAGATTGCACGGAGAAGAGCATCATTGATATTTGTGCCTGTTGGAAAAGGAGTTAATTAGTCAATCAATTAATTAATTTCTATACCATTCAACAGTAGTATAAGCCTGCTATCCACAGAGCTACAGCAGTTTCCTAAGGACAGATTTGTTCTCTTCAAGTATATCTCTCGCATGTGGCATGTATCATTACCACATTGCATTTATATCCTGCAGTTTTCTTCTTGTGCAGAACCCAAGGTAGCTTACATAGCTCCATTTTATCCCCACAACCACCCTGAGAGGTAGGCTAGGCTGGGAGTAAGTGACTAGCCCGAAGTCACCCACTGAGCTTCATGGCTGCCTGGGGACTAGAAACTTGATCTCCCAGGTCCCCATCCAGTCCTCTCACAACCACACCACCCTGACTCTGTACCCTCACATCAAGCCCTGTGGACATTTTGCCCATGGGGTGGGATGTGGCCAAGCAGAATTGGACAGACAAATCCACTCCTGATTTGACAGCGATAGGTCTTTGAGCAACATTCTTTGAAGACCTTGATCTGGAGTTTTTTCAGCAGAAAGATAAGGCTGAGAACTTTCCGGCTTGTCTAACCTGACCAAGTTGCTTGCATTGTAAAAGTGTGTGCGCGCACATATGCAGATTCCTTTACATTTTTCTTCTGTATTCCTATGTGATCTATTAAAATACTAGATGCTGGTTTTCTCATCTTGGTTAAATTATATTGTCAGCCAATACTGGTAATGCATAGAAGTGGTTTTATGCTCCCCACCCTTTGGGTTATTTTGAGATATCTAATGAGGCTAACAAATTGAACATTAAAGCCACCAAAGGGAGAACAACAACAAACATATCCAAAAAGGCAGGAAACATCCATTTTAAGAGTCAGGTTTAAGGATGTGCCACTCCCCCAGTTCTTCTGCAGAAATTGACAGGAGAATTAAGCATATACCATGGGGCTTAAATATACTTTGGGGGTTCATGCCCTAATTTTTTTCTCAGACCACCACAAAACAATGTTACATCATCAGCAGAGTGCTTTTTATGTGTTGGGAAATTTCAGATAAATCCTGGTTTTAAAAAAACAAAACAAAATGTTGCTTATATGATCCTTCGTGTTAAAAAAAATCAAACCTGCATCTCTCACAAAGCACCAGCTTTCCAAGCCAGGTTGCTGTTTAGCATTGCTGTTGCCTTAAGAAGATGGCATTCTTAGCTAGATTGAGAAGCGATATACCTGTATTCTTATCAGCTGTAGAAAAACCTGAAATAATGCTGTTCGTTTGTTTCCAAATGGGCCCATCTAAACAGGGACAAGCTCCTGCAGAGTGTAGCTGTCAAACCAGACTTCCGAAATGGCTCCTCCATCAGACATATTTGCATGTTTAAACAGACACAAGTGGCTGACCTGAACTGTCAAGAATTTACTAGATAATAATAAAGCAATCAGTGATGTTTTCCATCCTATTGTTAGCAGTATTTCTGATTGGTTTAGAACATTCATGCCTGAAGACATCAGAATGCTATTGTACTAACATTATCTGGAAACTTAATACTCTGTATTGGTGTATGTGACTAGCAGGTTATAAAAGTGTCTGTACATGGGCTGTGATTTTGTAGCTGAGTTTGCCTCTACCCAGTAATGTATTATCATTAGTGACTGCAGGTACTGGGCCACCAGTCAATAAAGCAGCAGAAGTTCAAACGGTTGATCATTCCCACGGACCTGAGTTTTTATTTCCTCCTCACAAATTGAAAACCGAGATTCTGTCACTATGCACACAATATTTGTGGATCTGCCCATGTGCAGACGGTGCCGACTGCAGAAATCAAGGACACAGGGTTCCTTCGCAGCCCCCTCCCTCCCAGATTTTATACATGGTCCTCCATCTAAAAGAATAATTGTTCTGAGTGACGCTCCTGATTACCCATTGAATTTCTCTGTTTGATCTGGACCCTTTCTTTCCACCAAAACTAGTACTCTGGGGGTTTACAAGCACAATTAGCATGGGTCAAAACAACAAGACAATACATGACAATACAATAAAATCATAACAATTATTGAAGAAAAGGATGAAATAGAGTTAAAAATTGGCCGCAAGCTGAATGGACCTGCTTATAGGCCAAATGCCTTTTGGCATAAAGGAGACTTTGCCTGCCAGAAGAAAGGCAGCAAAGATGGAGTGAATCCGCAGCACTGGGAGTGAAGTCAAAGGACTTCCCATGGAATTGGAGGGAAGCTGTGGCAACCTAAGATCTCGGGACCCCCAGCTGGAGGTGCTGCAGGCCACCCATCTGCTTGGACTGCTTGCGCTGGAAGTCGAGCTCACCTCCATTGGGATGGATTCCCTCAATGTACTTCTTGGCGGCGTCTGTCTGCATTCTGGAGGCCTCCACCAAGCTATCCCTCCAGCACCGGACGTTATGGTTGAAGTCGAGGATGGAGAACTTGTCATCGGAGCGCAGGTCTCCCAGGATGGTCTTCATGGCTTCCACCGTCTGAAAAATGAGCAGTGGAACTTGGAGGCACGGCCGTCGCTCTCCGTCCGGCATAGATGTCACACCGGCTCAATGCACAATCTTCGGCATGTGTAAAGCAGAGCGCAGTGTGGAACCCCTTTCAGCCGGGTCCCGTTCAGAAGATGCTCTTGGGCCCACATTGCAGGGTCACATGGGCCCAGCATGAGAAGCACTGGTGTATTTTAGCTGCAGAGCTAAAATGGGGGTGCTCGTAATCCTGCAAACTCAGAGGCGTACAGGACTCCAGGGCAGAGCAGGAGTAGTGGAGGCATCCTTTGCCTTTCCAGGCTTCCCATTCTGCATTTTTGCCATCTTGCAATGGTGTTTCAGAGTGGGAGGGAAAGAGGTTGGGCAGCCCCAGGAAACCCTGTAACTTGGCCACCCCTCGCGCCGTCTTGTCCCCTCCCCCTCAAGCTACCCCTTTCCCCTCCTCTCCGAGGTTGTTTTTCCAGCCTCAGAACACAGGCAATGCCGTTCTTTCTGTATCAGCTGCGTGGGGGACAAGCAGGGCCGTCTGAACGCGTGGGCCTGATGGGCACTTGCCCGTGGGCCCCATACTAATCTGTGTATGTTAACCCTTGGAAAATGGGAAAACTTCCAAAATTAACAGAAGTTGTAGTTGTCATAGGGGCCCCTGGACACTGCTTTGCCCAGGTCCCATAATGCTGTTCAGACGGCCCTGGGAACAAGAAGGGCCAAAATACGGATTTCCCCATCCAAGGTCGGAGGGGTGTCTCCGACCTTGGATCTGGGAATGCAGACTATCCTATGCCCTCTCCAACAATGTTAGGGGCCATAAGGCCAATCCATAAAGCAGAACGGGGAAGCAATTGTGCAAAAGCTGGCAGAGGAAAGGGTAGCCACCTTGATGAACTTGAAAGAGTCTGGTTCGGATCCCAGGTGGGCTGCACTCGGCGCTGGAAACTGACATTCAACATCCCTCCTATATGGGCTGGCACAAAAGAGCAGGGGATGGACCCCTTCCCTTGAAATCAAGCCTTGCACCGGGTTTTGATTTCTTCTCCTTATATGGGGCCCGCAGGTTGCTTCCCCTACAGCCTTCCAGGAAAACTAGAAGCTCGGCACAAGGGCGTCCTTGCATCCTTCCCACGCACCCACCCTATTGCAATCTGGACCCGAATCAGAGTGATGCTTTCATCTGAAAGGCGCATTGGGAGGCCCTTCTCCGGGAACCCTCCGTGAAGGAAATTAGGAGGGTGGGTACTCGGAGGAGGGCTTTCTCTGCGGTGGCACCCAATCTATGGAATGTGCTCCCCAGAGAGGTCCGCCTGGTGCCGTCGTTATTTGTTTTTCGGCACCAGGCGAAGACCTTTTTATTTAAACGTCATTTTAATTGTTAACAATATTTGCTTATTTATCTGGCCAGGGCGACTTCTTTTATATTGTTATTTATTTTATATTGTTAATTTTATATTGTTATTTTTGTATTTTATTGTATTTTATTTTCTGCTGTGAGCCACCCCGAGGCTTCGGCAAGGGGCGGCATAGAAATGTTTTAATAAATAAATAAATAAATAAAATAGGATGACATTTTTGTTTCCTAATCTCTCCACTATGCTAATAATAAAACGTACTAACACCTTCAGGATGTATTTGAAAAGAAAAGCAATATATAAATAGCATTAATCATAAATGTGGGTAAAGAAGAAGGATTATTTATAACAGAGGTGAGAATCCAGCAGCCCTCAGATTAATTTCAAAGTCCCTCTGGATGTGATGAATCCAAACCCTCATCAATAATCATCTATTATTTTGTCATTATGTTTAATTAATTTTATTTCTATACCACTCAAGAGCTGAAGCCTTCTGGATGGTTACCACAGGACATAAAATAGAACAAAATAAAAATGCAATATGCAATATAGGTAACAACAAAAACATCTTAGAATTACGGAGCAAAATGTAAAAGCCCAAGGTAAAAAGCTACAATAATGAATACCAATTTAATCAGACTGAATTTAAATGTAAGCAGTTTATCGCTTAGCTATCAAAGAATCATACATTTAGAAGGGGCCCAAAGAAGGCCATTGGGTCCAATTCCCTGTTCAGGGCAGGACTCAGATGCTGACCAGGACTGACGCTGCCTAGCTTCCAAGAGGAGGAAAGAGCTGGCACTTCAGGCTGGCTGGCCAGCCCAAATGCCCACTGAAAGGGAAGGGGGTAACAGAGAGGGAAGCGGGGGTCAGAAAGGAAGAGAAGAAAGGAGGCAGTGGAATAAGAAAAGGGGTAACCCTCCCATTTTTGGCTCTTTGACTTTCCCAGGGTGGCTTCAGCCAGCATGAGCCCCCCAAAAATAAGCCGTGCGGGGAAGAGGCCAAACAGCAGTTAAAAGAAAAAGCTGGCCGGTCTCTGGCTGATGCCATGAGCCACAGAGTCCCGCTGCCCTTCGGAGCAGGAGTGTCGGGCCCCTCCCAGCCTGAGGCTGCATGCAATTTTGGAGAAGCCCCCAAATCGGGGGTCGGGTAGATAGCGTCTTATCTCCTAATCCTTGGAGCAGGAGGAGAGGCATTCCCACCTCTTGGAATGGAGCAGAGCAGCCGCGCTGTAATCAGTGGCTGGGGAAAAGGGGTGGGGTCCAGGGAGGGCTCTGTGGTCTTTTAGGGTCCCACGCATAAGGCTGACTCTGGCCCTTCCCCTCTGCCCCAGCCCCACGGTGCCACAGCTGCGCCTTAAATGCAAAGCACTTCCGTGCACGCTTTCTCGGTTCCTTCAGGGAAGTTTCTTTCCTAGTGAGCACCTGGAACTGCACCTCTAGACGTGCCACAGGGTCACCTCTTGTGCTCTTCCCCGGAATGTGTTTATCTTTCGGCTTCCCCACAGTTCATTCCTATGGAATCTCATCGACCCCGAGGCCTCACTCGTGTCCTCCCGCTTCCATTAAAAACCTCTTAGAGGAAAGACTATATAAACAATTCTAAAAAGTTAACAGCTCCTCTGTATCATCACAGCAAGGCCAAGCTGCCACTGCAGCGTTAAACACGAGCTGCCCTGCGCCGGCTCGCTGAGTCCACGGCGCCTTGGGAATCCGATGCTTTATTGATCCACCTTTCACTTGGAACAGGCCACACTGATTCCTCGGCTTTTTTCCTTTCGTTGGGAAAATTCCGCTAGGTCCTGGCAGAAATAGGTTGCTCATGCACCTTCGGGTCATAAAATGCCGGCACCCCTTTCTCGGGAAGCACCCAAACATTCCAAGCCGGGTTACTGTTTGGCATTCGCTGTTACTTCAAGAAGTGGGGCCTGGTGGTTCCCCAAGGGGCTGCCAGGGCTGTTGCTTTGCTGATCAGGAAGAACTGATAATGCCACCAGGTGATAGGTGTGAAAGGATGATTTGAAATAAGGGAGTAAAAGAGATTTAAAAAGGTAACAAAATTACTTAGCCCAAAGGAGGGGAGGGGCCAAAATCAGATAGCACAAGGTGTGGGGAAACAGGCACATAGGCAGGAGGGCCAAATGCTTCCTGATTGTTTATTGACCAGCCGGGCAGAACAAAATGAACCTCTTGTACCACCGGGGGCAGAGCTGGATTGGGAAGAGGGGCCGGTGGTGGGGCAGCGCGGAGCAGGTGGGCGGAAAGAGTACAACTCTCAGTGCCCTATTAGCCAATTCAGGGAACAGAGGAGGGAACAAGCGGCCGGGAGCAGGGTTCAAAAGGGGTGTGTGAACATGTGCTCAGGTGAACAGAAGGATGGGAAGGAAACCGTTCCTTTCTGTTCCCTTCATTGCAGTAAAGTTTTAAAAAGAACTCTCTGCATGCCTGGAATATTTTTCTCTTTCAACAGAAAGGAAAGAGTGTTTTTTTTTTTAACACAGGTTAACAGCATTGCAATCACCCTCGTTTGCATGCCAAGACCCACAGTAATCCCTGTGCCTCCGTGGTCAATATGTTACTCTCCTGTAATCAATACCATTGTCTTGAGCCTCCTCTGCAGACCTCTCCCCTTCTCCTGCCTGTGCTCCCCTTCAAAAAGCAGCCTGAAACAGCCTCAAATGCGCAACAGGCCCCACTTTTGCCATTCCCGTTTACCTGTCTCATCTTCAATCCCCACATCGAGCCGCTGACGTCGATAACAAAGAGAATGTTTTTCGGGAGAGGGTCCAGATTTTCAGGAGCAAAGTAATGGATAAAATAGCCATTGAAGATCTGTAAGATAACATGAAAGACCAAGAGGGTTCATTTCCTGCAAAAGTTCCCATAAAACAGAGCAGACGCTGTGCGGGTCATAAGGATGGCATTTCGGGAATGATGTGATTTCAGATTGGCCAGATGGCGATCTCTCTCTCTCTCTCTCTCTCCCCCCCCCCCCCTTCCTTCTCTTCAGAGCTTCAGCATGGTTCTTGGCAGGCTGTCAGAAAGGTGGCAAGTAGCAAGGACCTGCTTTTCCTTGGGCAAAGTCTAGACTTCCAAAGGCCCCGACCTGGCCTTCCAGGGGTCCCTAGAATGCCACTCCCCTTTCCCCCTTGGGTGTCCTTCCAGGTTTGCACAGTTTTGGTCCCTAATGTGAAAGGTTGCTTCTTCTGAGCTTTGAGACAAATCGTGGTGTCTGGAGTGATTTGATCCAGCCCTTTTGCCTTTGGCCACATTTGTTGTTGCTGGTCGCGAAGTCGTGCCCGACCCATCGCGACCCCAGGGACCACATTCCTCCAGGGCTTCCTGTCCTCCACCATCCCCCGGAGTCCACTCAAGCTCACACCAACTGCTTCAGTGACTCCATCCAGCCACCTCATCCTCTGCCGTCCCCTTCTCCTTTTGCCGTCAATTGCTCCCAGCATCAGGCTCTTCTCCAGGGAGTTCTTCTCATTAGGTGGCCAAAGTATTTGAGTTTCACCTTCAGTACCTGCCCTTCTAAAGAGCAGTCGGGGTTGATCTCCTCTAGGGCTGACCTTGGATCGCCTTGCAGTCCAAGGGACTCTCAGGAGTCTCCTCCAGCACCACAATTCAAAGGTCTCAATCCTTCGGTGCTCAGCCATCCTTATGGCCCAACTTTCACAGCCATACATTGCAACTGGGAAGAACATAGCCTTGACTCTGCGTACTTTTGTTGGCAGGGTGATGTCTCTGTTTTTCAGTATGCAGTCTAGATTGGCCACATAGTTATTTATTAATTGAAATATTTCTATGCCATCTATTCCACTGACAGCATTCCTATGCGGCTCACAATACCCGAACAACAGCATCCAACAACTCAAAATATTAAAAGCTCAGCAATAAAACTTTATTTTAAAGTTTAAAGTTTTATAAATAACCCTATCAATCTATACATTAGCACAACTATAACATTCCAATAAATAAATTTCCCCAACAGGTCATAGTGGCATCCATGGGAGGAATCAGGTATGACATGGCTGGAATGCAGGCGCCGAGAGCGTCTCCGGAACGGAATTCCTCCGCATGGAGGAGGCTCCGCTCTGCCTCCGCGCCAACCTCGCCTGGCTACCCTGACCTGCTGGCACCACCTCCGGCTTCCTTGCTTTGCCCCCTTCCTTCTTGCCCCTCGCCCCCACTGCTTGGCCCAACCGACGTACCTCCAGTTCCCCAGCTTTGCGATCTCTGTTCACGTCATACGTCACCACAAAATTGCCCTCGACTGCAGTCAAGGAGCAGTTGGAGCACTTGCGTTGCTGGGCCACCGTGGGCTTGAAGGAGATGTGTGCCTGCCAGGAGCCAGAGAGCAGCGCACGTGAGAACGGTCTTCCCCAGGCAAGGGCAAGCTCGGCCACTTGGCCTTCGGCACGGCCGAAATGTGACAGCAAACCTGCATCTGCCCGGCCATTAAAAAATCTCTCTTTTTCTTTCCACCTGGCATTAACCCCATTTGGAAGTGACAGATCTTGATTGATTAATTGATCGAACCATTCAATTATTAGGCTTTTCCGTCTGCCCCATAAATATTTTCCTAGGGCAGTGCTACCAAGGGCCATGCATGCAATTAGCAACTGCACCAATGCTAATCCAGAAGGCAGGAATTCTTAGCCGGCACGGGAAGGGAGGGGATGTGGTTAGGGGGTTGAATCCTGCTGAGGTCCCCATCTGGATTGGTCCTTCAGCACTCACTGTCTTCATGAGAAGGAATCTTTCCCCATTTTAACTAGCAGTGCAGGGGCTGAAGGATTAAATCTTACCTACAAATTACCCACCAAAACCCACACTTTCAATTGACACTGTGATGCTGAAACACCCATTCGTTTAGCTGCTAACGATGCAAATGACATCACAGCTAGTTGTGTCAACGCTTGGTGGTGCTTTAATCGTGTAGAGCAGAGCTCTCCTGCCTCCCAGCAGTCCAAAAATTCATCTTGGAGGGTCAGAATGTATCCAGGGGCAGGTGTGCAGACTTCGGTGCCTCTCCCCTTCCAAATCTGCCCCCACAATCGGAATGGGGGCCTCCAGTGGGAACGGCCATGTTCTCTGGGCACCTTCCATTCCCTCTTCCACTGCAGTCTAGCAAGTCACTTCCAGGAAACTTCCTCTTAGCCACTTCCTCTTGGTCTTCCACTTCTTCCTACCTCTCTGGTCTCACTTCCAGGACTTTCAGGCTTGCTAGCCTCTTGAAGACCATGTTTTCTCCTTTATGAACCCCAGTGAAAAAATTGTTTTCATCATTCTTAATGCACCAGAATACAAGGTGTGTCCAGAAAGTAATGAGAATGATATTTTAAAGATCCTTTTACTGGAAATTTCTGCAATTGAACATTGTCTCCTTCAAAGAATGCACTTTGCAAGTGTACTCAACGCTCCCAGCAATTTTTCCAGTCTTTGTAGCATCCCCCGAAGTCTTCCAGTGGGATGGCATTCAGAGTCTGCATAGTGGCTCTTCGGACGTTATCCACACTGCCAAAATGGTGTCCTTTCACACCATTCTTCCAGTTTGGGAAGATGCAAAAGCCGCAAGGAGCCAAGTCGGGGATGTAGGGTGGATGGGGAAGCGCCGTGAGGTGTTTTCAGCCAAAAACTCTCTGACAGCCCAAGCGCTGTGGCTCCGTGCGTTGTCATGACGAAGGATCCGCATTGAGCCGATCTCAACTTGTGCCGTCGAAACACTTGTGCAGGTGATAGCGCAGCTTCTCCATAAGCTTTCCTCTCCATTTCCAAAGTTTCTGATGCACTTTTACCTAATTTCACATAATGTTCTCACATGCCGCTGCTCCAAACGCACTTGCATTTTTCTTAATACGAGGCACGTGAACAGGGTGTCACAAAAGAGAAAGACTTGACTCTGGCAGGGCTGGCGTGCAGCTGGTGAGTGTTCTCACGTGCGCCTGGCACCCCACCCCGAGTGGCCTTGGCCAGCTTCTCCCTTCACAGAGCCCTTCTGGAGTGCAGGGACTTCATTCTCATTCACACCTCGTAGATCCCCTCATCATGGACAGAGTGTTGGGAGAGCCATCACAGGATCTCTGATAGGGATGGGTTTTTTCCCCCAAAAACAATGCTTCCTAGGAACCAGACATTGGGTTGGGATGACAGAGCGAGAGACCGAGAGTTCTCTATTTTCCCCTGTGCTAGTTTCTTGATTAAATAGTCTCTCCTCAAAAATGACTTTCTGCTCCCCAATTCACCCCCAATCCCCTTTCTGCATTTTAAAGAAAACAACTGCATGAAAAAATGCATTCAATACATAGTTTAAAATGCAGTTTCTCTCAAAATACACTTTTCTAGACATTTCTCTCAAATTGCACATCCTTTTTTCTATTCTGAAATATTTTTTTAAAAAAATGAACTGGAAACAGCATCAGAAAATACAGAGGAAAATACAGAGAATACTCCGATGGGTACCTCTGTTCCAATCTGTATATGCGACCTGGAGAGATTGATCCATCCAGTTGGTACTGAAATTCCTGCCAATGGAATTTCTCCAACTCCCCCCCAGCTTCGAGCCAGAGGGTTCAGACTGTGAGATCCCAGTGAAACGAAAACCTGCTTGGGAAGTGAGGGGGGCAATTCGGAAGGACCAAGATCTCTGCCCTCAGTTACCTTTTTCTCTCCTTTGGAGATGGTAGCAATCCCTGCAAAATGCTCACCAAGCGCGTTGGGAATGTGGACGAAGTTAATTCCCTGGGGTTCGATAATGCGAATGTCCACCTGTAAGGATTGTGGCACAGGAGGATGGCAATGAGAATACAGAAGAATCTAGTGGATGGAGCTTTCTCTCTCTCTCTGCAAACCACGGGGCTGGGATGATTCTGCTGTGCTGTTCCCAGTCAGGGTAGGTATGTCTGGGCTGGATGGACCAATGGTTTGACTCTGCCCAAAGCCAGTGAGGCATAGTGGTTAGAGTGATGGACGGGCACTCCCAGGTTTTTGGGAGACTTGGGCTCCAGTCCATGTTTGGCCTGTTGAGCGAGGACTGCACTGTTTTGGAGAAATACAGAATGGATCTCAGAAAAAAGGATTAGGGAATGAGAAGCAGTGTGGTGTCGTGGTTAGAGTGTTGGGATGAGATGCAGGAGAGCTGGGCACTTGTCCCCGCTCGGCCATGAAGCTCCCAGGGGACTTTGGGCCAGTCACTGACTCTCAGCCCAACCTACCTCACAGGGTTCTTATGAGGGTAAAATGGAAAGGAGGAGGACTCTGGGAGCCACGCTGGACTCCTCGGATCAAAAGGTGGCTCTCATAACAAACAATTAAACAGTCTCCACCGTGTTGTGATTCACATGAACAGGGGCAAAGACTTCTGGGCATTACTTAAGGGAAAATCTGATTCATATGCTACACACACGCAGAAATGTTGACAGAAAAGTCATTCCGTGCCGAATGCTTGTGTATCCCATCAAGTATAAGGCATAAGTCGAGCTCATCAAGGTGTACATTGAGCCTTCTGGGGAAGGCCTGCGCTTCTGAGGTGCCACCACTAAAAAGCCCTTTGCTCAGCATCATTCAGCTCCCCTCTTTCAGGGGGCACCCAGAAGAAGACCTCTGAGAATGAGCTTTGTCTGGGCAGGGGTGTATGGAAGGAGACAGTCCTTCAGGTAACCTGGCCACAAGCCAGGCGGCAGCCCATCCTGGCTGGAGAGCCCTCAGCTGGGGAAGGCAGGCCGACGGCAGGAAGCACTGCTCCCCAACGGCTGTTCGAGCCACTTATTTTTCTTTACCTCCAGTTGTTTGGCCAGCCTGCCCGGCTGCAGAGGGACAACGTGCTCGTAAGTGGACAATTTCCTCCGGATTGGCTGCTGGTAATGAATTTCAAACTGCACTTTGGTTCCTCCTGGGACATTCAGTTCAGCTTTGAAGTTCTCCATGTCAAGGTCATTGCTCCTGAATTCAGTGATCGACATGCAAAACCACGTGAAGAACGCAAACAAAGGCGACACCTTCACATGCCACCAGAATGAAACATGACTGAATCTTCCCACAGTGGGTGTTGTGATTTTAAAGATGGGGATAGAGGCCCAATTAAAATGAGGTCCAGAAACGGATTGTACCCCTCAAATTCAAAATACCTAAATACATACTCAAATGGCAGCAAAAGCTTCCAATTTTTGTTAGTTAAATTACAGATGTGGGACTGAACAACTGTTATTGAAATTACTGTGTGTATCCCTTCCTTCCCTAGCTATGACCAGAATGAAAATCACACCCTGCACTTTTAACTCTGTTGGCTTGTTGCATTGTCTGAGCTCATTGTGACATTTCACCGTGGTAAATCTGGCCTTTAGAAACCACAATAAGAAACACCGCTTTGTCTGATGGTTTCTTCATACCACCACGGCTTCTGTACTGGCCGAGCCTAGGGAGGGGAGGAGCCCTTTCGGGGTCCATCCCTCCAGCACCCGTGGACGTCCTCTCCTGCTCAGCCCGGCCCTGCAAAGTGAGCCGAGCCAAGAGGAAGCCCATGAGCACCTGCAGAGTCCCAGCTGCACGGCTGGGTCCTTCCACATCGGCTGTGGCTGCCCAAAGGGGCAGGGACAGGTGCTGCTTGTGGGGGGTGCCATTCCTGGTGGCCCCAGTAACCCAGTTTCTTCCGTGTCCATTCCAGCCAGTGGTGGCTGCACCAGGCACAGAAGATGGGCATTGCTTGTGCAGTCAAGGGCTTGGTCCTTGGCAAGCACCCCGAATGCCGGGTATGCCCATCAGGAAGTTGGACCCATGGCCACTACAAAGTCCAAGGAAGACAATCTGATGGATTCCCAGCCCCAGATTCCTCGTGCATCCCTATCTGAATGAAGGATCATGGCTTCCACAGCCTTGGCATGCAACTACCACAGAGTCCTCTGGAAAGAGTGGCAGCTGCAGGAGCCGCTCCAGCCATCCAGCCTCTATGTGTGGACCAATGAGGAAAAAGTAGCCAACATAGGCAGGAAGTAATGCACCCGGGGACTGAATTTCAGGCACAGTGGCTGCTGGAATATTTCACAACAGTGGGAAGATGGAAACCACAGCAGCACAGAAACCACTGGCTTGTCTGTCAGGCAGACCATGGTAACCCAGGAACCACGGGAGCCATGCACAGCCACTATCCAGCTGTGGGGGCGAGAAAAAGCGTCCCCTCGTGGCTGGGCTTCCTCTTTCTTGGCACTTTCCCTAGAAGAGTCTGACTGCCTCCTGGAAGGGCTGCAGAATGGATGCAGAACAGGGCTGCAGACCCTCATGCTGGCAGTCCCAAGCTGTGCCTCCACGAGCCATCCCTATGAGGGTCCCCAGATGGACCCCCCCTTCTCCAGGCCCCGCCCTCTTGTCCCCAGCCACCGGTCACTGGGGGGCTCCTGGCGTCTGCGCCGTTTCCCCACTATTCTAAAAGGCTGGCATGCCGATGAAACGGTGGCACCTTTGGCCCCGCCCCCTTGCTGCTGACTCCACCCACCCCTTGGGAACTGAATGCCTGAAGGAAGTTCAGCAGCTCTGAGATGAAGGGGCCGCTCACCGTACCTGAGTATCCCAGCAGCTTTGCCTTTGGCTCTGGCTTGCGCGTACTGGCTTCTGGCTGAAGATTTCTCCTTAACCGAACTTGTGAATGTGATGCCGTTGACATTCCTGTGGGACAGAAACCAAGTCAGAGCTACCCAGGGTCAAAAGAACAGTGAAATGAGGGCAGCGGGACATCCAAGAAGCCCCAGGAGAAAGGAGAATTGAGAACAAGAAATATGATTGCTCGATTCACTGGATTTTTATCTTGCTGCATTAGCTAATATAGCTCCTTTCTTGCAAATATCTTTCAAGAAACCCTGCAGTTTGAAAGAACACACACACACACACACGGGAGAAATTCATTCCCTTTGCACTTTGATGGAATCTTGCCCAATTTTGCACATTCCCAACCACTCTCTGTTATCTTTCAAAACTCAGTTATCTTTCAAAATTTGCACTGCTCTGAATTTTGCAATGCATAAATTCGGTCACTGTATAAAATGCATACATCAGAGAAAATCATGTTCAGATATAATTTCGAAAGCCTGAGATAAAACAAATTCAAGACTGAAAAACGAGAAACTAAAACTGACATTCATTCACCCTTGACGCGCTCTCGCGCTCTCTCTCTCTCTCTCTCTCTCACACACACACACACACACACACAGCCCAGATATGGAATCATGTGCATTCCAAAGATATCTGTACTTAGTCCCATTTCCCCAAGATAGTTGGGCAATAAAACTACAAAAACAGAGCCTTCCACAGTTCTCTGACCGACCATTCCTGAAGGCTTATCCCATAAATAAAATAGCATTTCTCTGTCCAGCCTCAATAGGGGCATAAGCCTCAGTAGCTTCAGTGCGTCCCAGTTCGTTACAATACACGACTGCAGTCTAATTGTCTAATGCCCCAGAGAAGACATCACTAAACGGGTCTATGAAAAGCTAGCAAACCCAGGGACAACTCACACAATAATTTACTGAAATCCCACCAAGTACAGTAACTCCAACAAGCACCCACACCAGATTGCTCAGGCCCCAGCACACAGCAAATCCAGGCTGAGCAAGTCCAGAATTAGCGAATCCCGGCTTAATTTGTTGGGATGCCTGCCCCAGTGAGTCTTTAAAAATGCATGTTGAAAATGCAGGGCTTCCTGAACTGCAAGCTGAGCTGAAACCAGAAGTTCTGGAAAGTTTTCCTTTCGGGTTGAGGAAACAAGAGCACTGGATCCCAAAGTGAGTGAGACACCAGCTACCTCTGCAGAAGGGACATTGGCATGTACTGTGGAGAGGAAGGATTGCGTGGGGAATCCACCCAGGGGTGGGAGTCTGTCGGATCCCCTGGGCTCAGCTCCTCGGACTCCGGCTTTCCCGGTAGTGGCCCAGGGTGCACGTTCCAGGCAAACATGCCCACCAGTGCTGGCACACCCGCCAGCAGTCACTGCGAGAGCAGCTGCAGCAGAGGCCGAAGAAGGCGGGCTGTGAGGGGCTTCCACAGGAGCTGCCCTGCTTTCCTGGCAAACCTCCGTGACGGCCGTGCAAGCTAAGACCCTCTTCCACACCAGCTGCAGCTGCCGTTTGGTCTGCTGTGCTCACACGGAAGAAGCTTAGTGGTTGTGCAACCAGGAGTCCACAAGCGCCTGCAGATTCCTTCTTTCTTTGGAAGACCAGGCCTAGCCTGTGAGGCATCCCAGGAATGCTTGGAGGGGCAGATCCCAACAGGGCTTTTGGAGAACGGAGATCTGAATCTCGACCGTCTGCCTGCGTTCTCTCTCCCTGCCCACATCTCCTCTATGGACCATAAGCATCCGCCGTGGTTGCCTGCCCCCAGATGGCTGGTTGCTCCACCTACGTGCAGTGAGCAAGCTGAGAAAGCACAAGGCCAAACGTTCTGCGCCGAGCCTGCCGCTGTTGCCCTTACTCACATGGTGAAATTGTGGATGAAGGCCCCTTTGGGGATCTGCACGTCGAAGACCAGGTTCTGAGGGTGCCTGGCGCCGTTTTCCACTCTGCTCTGAACCATCGTGTTGGCCAGGCGCGATGTGATGGTGGACTTGACCTTGTAGCTGTGGAGGATTATGTTGTCCTCGCCCGTAACCTAGAAGGATCGAGCGACAGTGGGAGCGTCAAGAGAAGGCTGAGATCTGCGGCAAGGGGCTTCCCTGAGGAGTGCAAAGGCAGCTCTCGATATCCATCAACTAGATCCAGTGTCTGGATCCAGCAGGACGTTGGGTGAAGTTCATCATGAAGATGCCGCATGGACGCCACTCAGCCGACCTCCAGTCTCCATCCAGGGGCCATTCTTAGGAGCAGTGGTGGCCAGCGGGCTTCGAGCAAGCTGGAGTGTCCTCTTTCAGCAGGGGGAGGAAGCCCTTCGATAAGAACAATAGGGCAAGCCAGCGGGGTTGGGCCTGATGGGCCTCTGCTCCCTTCCAGCTCCCTGTTCTGCGATCCAGCCAGAAGGACCGGGAAGCAAGAGCGCAGCAAGCTCTGAGGAAGGACTCGAAGTATGAGTCAAGGGACGAGGGAGTGGGACTGAGGAAAGGTATAAAGGGAGGCAGAACTTTCAAGAGAACCAATGAAAAATAATGACATTTCTTATGTGTACCACCCCCTAAACTCAGAAGCAGAGCGAGTCAGAAGGGGTCTCCAGGCCATCCAGTCTGACCCCCGACTGCAGCCGGCTCCGCTCACAGGTCAAAGCATAGTTCAGTTTGTCCTCTAAACAGTGAGAACTATGATTGACTGACTGACTGACAGGGTCCTCAACTTTTGGGGGGAAGCGGGTGCACTTGGGATGTTGAAAGAATCTTGCGGGCACTCTCACAAAATAGCTACCATGGGGTGGGGTTTGCCCGTGCCTAAAATGGCTGCCATGGTGAGGGCGAAATGAGAAGACTCAAGCACAACTTCCCCAGAGCCCAGGTGCAAGGCAGAGTACCCAAAAGAAGGTGCCGGGTGGGGGGGGGGGATCCCACTCTGGAGCAGGGCATCCTTCCACCTATTTTTTGAACATTCCAAGAAATCTCAGCAAATACAAAAGGCATCAGGCTGTACAAAGAGATCAGTGGCACGTGACGGCAGACCCAGGTTTCCGTCAATGCCTGGGAGACCCTTCCAGGTTGGGTGGCTGCTTTTGCACTTCTCAAAGAGAGGAAACACATTTACATAAAATATGCAAGCACACTGATCAATATGCACATGTGCATATTTTAAAGGGATGAGCATAACTCAAATAAAAATCCCACACATTTTGGTGCATCAGGGAAAACGGTGGTGACCAGGGGATGTGTGCAGGTCCTCAGTCCAAGTTCCAGGGGTCGGTGACGCACACTCAACTCTTGCTCACCTCCCTTCTTAGGCTTCTTATCTTTAAGCTTAGCAGTTTGGAAAAAATCCGATGCACATTTAGCCTGAACAATCTTACAGCTCCCAGAGCTTCCCAGCCACCCTTTTTCCTACTTAAACATGCGCAAAGTCGCAGCTGCAGAAGTTAAAACCAATCTTTTCAATGAGCACATAAACAAAGAAGCAGCCCGAACCTTTTGGAACTGCATTAGTGGAATAAGATCAGACGGGCTGGACCTGCCGGAATGCTAGCAGTCACTTTTGTACTGGCTGAAATTTCTGCATCACCCACAGAGAGAGCACTCAGGTCATCTAGCATGATTATGATCAGGGGGAATCTCAAAAGCAGGTTCTCTTTCTTTACCACCAGCCACGAAACCAGCTGAAGCTGTTGCTCTCTGCGATGATGAGGTGGGGTGGGGTGGGTCAAGGGGCGTGTGTGAAGGAAACTACACAGGCAGTCTGGGGAACTCCAGAGAGCCAAGGCTGAATTGCTGGGACCCCAGTCCCTTCCTCCAAGCAGGTGACTTGCCCCCTTACAGACTCATCATCAAAGCAAGCATGGACCCACAGCTTCGAGAAACACAATCGGCTTGTTTTCCCCTAAGCGAGACGGGCGGTCAGTCTCCATTCCGGCCCCCTGTGACAATATTGTGCAAGAGAAGGAAACTGTTTGAAAAGGCCCTTCTGGTTAATATCTCAGCTCTCTGGCAGGGTTGTGGGAAGGGACCCCCCCCCCCAGCCATTAGCAAATGGTAGGATTGATCTTCAGGTAATGGTTAACTTGAGTGGGTTGATTCTGCAGAAGAGAAAGAGGGATAAACAACAGGAACGCTCACCGATTCTCCGGAGTCATCGTTGCTGGGTGTGCTTCTCTAGGAAATAAAACAAAGAAAGACCAAGGCAATGAGACTGGATGCCTAGAAGACTTTGGATTAAAGACAGTGGACTTGATGTGGACACAAATCGCTCCAGGGACAGCGTGGGATAGATGAGTAATTCTGTTCAGACCATTTCTGAATAAGGATTTTACCCAGTTCACACTTTCTGGACCTAATGCAGACTAAGATACAACTTATTTCCCAATTTGCCATGAGATTTGTGGACCCCCCCCCCCCAATGCATTCAACAGCATGCATGTTTTTGAAAGCTGTGCATGAAAAAATGCACACTCTGGAGAAATGTGCATGAATATGCTCTAATCAATTGGTGGAAAATGTGTATGTTACAAAGATGTGCACCGTTGATCTGTACTTTTGGGAAATGTGCATGGGAATGCATGAGGATGGTCCTAAGCAAAGGAGAAAATCCCAGTACTTGCTAGCTGACAAAGAGCTGAGTCTGAATGAACTTCCCGGGAGAATTTGGAGAGCACCCACAAACTTGATTTGCTGGTTCACATATGCCTCTTCTCTTTCTCAGCGCCCTTTTGTTGTCCTTGGCTATGGCCCCCATTATCCCCAGCTGCTCAGCTGTCACTCTTCCCCCATCTGGGGCTCAGCAGCATGAACAGAAGAATTGCTGCTGGAATTGATTCAAAAATGCAAGAACATTTGACTGGCTTCTTATGCCAGAAAAGGAGCGTTCTTGGATGCCACGACTTCATGCAAGAGGCATAATTAAAAAGCCTAGTTTTTTGTGAAGTTGTTTTAATGGTTACTGAAACTTTGTGTTGGCCTTTTATGCTGTATTCTATAGCATCCACATGTTTTCTTAGTTTTGTAGTTATTATCTGTTTTATCACGGTACTTCTGATGAATTGCTATGAATGGCCCAGAGAAACTCAGCTCTTGGGCAGAAAACAAATGAAATGAATAATGATCACTTAGCTATGGCAGTCCTAAAGAATATTTGGATATCTTCAACGGGGCAGTCCTGCTAAAATAACTAAATACAAAAAAAGGTGTGGCTGATTTCCTAGGGAGTTTAATAGACACAGAGCAGAGAGAGAGAGAGAGAGATCCTAACTTGACTTGCATCCCCTAATCCCAGAGATGCAGAATTAAATCCAAGTGAGGGGATCAAGTTGCCCCCGTACCGGCCTGCCCTTTGCCATGGATGACCATGCGCATGCCCAGCACCACAGATGTCATTGTCCCACTAGCCCATTTTATCTCCCCGCATGATGTGCAGAGCCCTCCCAGCATGGGAGAGTTCAAGCGTTTCATCCCATGGTATTCCTCGTCCCTCACTTGGCCGTGCCGGCTGGCGTTGGTGGGAGCTGCAGGTCAGAACATCTGGGGAGCCACAAGATCTTTAACCCCATTCTAGATGCATGCAAAGAATTCACGTCGAGGATGTGCACCTGTGATCAATCCTGGGATGCTTCCAAGAAGCTTCCCATCTGTCATCAGCTTTCAGTCTCTCGACTAGAGGGCTAGAAACTTGCTCGGCCCGATACAGAACAAGCGATTGGCTGTTGCTCATCAGCTGTGCAGAGACTCTTCCAGCTGCAGAGCTGCGAACACCCAGTGATGTTGGGGAGAAGTGAGTGGGGCTGAGGGAAGGGCTCTGGCCTTCGCGGAGACCCCCGAGGTCCAGAGTGGGACCCCACACAGGCCAGATTTGGCCTGAGATGCCACGCACCATTGCACGCTGTGAGGTGGCATGCTGAAGCGAATCAGGTCTGGATGCAGCTGTTGGACAGGAAATCCTAGGCAATCCTGCTGTGTGGAATTCCATGGACGGACAGTGGAAAAAGTCCGTCCGTAAAGCAAACCTGGATACCAGGACTTCTTCTGCTTGGAACCAAAGATCCCTTTTCAGTGTTTCTGCTATGGCCAAGCTGCTCTAGATGCTTCACAAGGTGGGGTCTCTGTCCATTTCTCCCTCATCCTGCAGTTCTCCCTTCGTGCCTTGTAAAATCAACGCGTGAGCTGCCGTACCTGGTACCTGCCATTCCGCGGAGTGGATCTCGAAAAGAATCCGTTCACCTCCCAGTCAAACCAGCTTTCCAGATCCTGTAAGGAGAGTTCCCAACGAGCTCAGGTAGCGCACGGTGGTTCAGAAGCGCTACCTGAGACTTCATGGCGCAGAAGCAAAGGACGGTCAAGCCCATGTGGGCCACCTGAGTTCATCACGATGCAGGACACATTGCTCTTTGTCGCTGCAATACCGTGAAGCTTTTGCACAAAAAAAGGCTGGAGAAAGGGACAGCCAAAATAACCAGCAATTCCTCTGCGGAAAGGTTACAAGATTGGGTTGCAGCGGGGAGCGGGTTGGTTGGGAGGCAGGAGAGGGAGGAAGGGAAAGGGTGACAAAATTAGGGGATGGAAAAAGTGTATCGAGCGTATTCTTATACCACTAGATCCAATGGGGTCCTTCAACGAGGCTGAACAGATAAAGGAAAGACGTTTTGCTATGCACAGATAAACCATGGGGTTTGCTAGTGCGGAACAGAGCGACGGCCCACCGGCTCAGGCAGCCTTAAAAGGGAATTAGAGGAAGTGATGGCAGCTGTGTAGTCCATTCATCATGATGGGTCTGAGATGCTGCAGGCACTGTCAGCCTGTACCACAAAACCACGAGGTTTGTTGGGAAAGGAAGCTAAGCTATCTCTGGAAAGGAAATGACACCTGCCTCGTGCAGAGTTGGACCCTCTAGCTGAGCGTTTTGGCACTGACCCTACAGAGCGTTCCAGGAAAAATCCTTTCCTAGCCCAAGCAGGAGGTTTTGGGGTGACTGCTACACTCAGAATAGTTGGAACATCACGAAGTGGACATCCGTTGTTTGGGAAAAGCTGGCTTATACTAGGTTTCCTGCGAAAGACTGGGCAGGGCAAAGAGAGAAGGCCTGCGTCTCCAGGGAAACTGGAAGCGGGCTGGAAAGGTGTATCTGTGCCACGTGAAGGGCCCCAGGAGCAGAAGTGTGGATGCTCCTCGTGCAAACATCTCTCGCCCACAGAACACCGCAATGCCAGGGCGAACATGAATTGCATCTGTGGTTCAACCGCAGGAGATGGCGTGCTATGAGGACCTCAAGACAGGAAGGGAGAGACCGAAAGAAGGCTGAGATGAGAAACCATTTGGTACGATTTGCTTTAAGCTCAGTTGTGAGTCTGTGCGGTGCGATCTCTATTCACCTGTGGAGTTCGTGAGACGATCTCGGCTCACCAGGCCTCAGTCTTACCTTGCTTACACGGCGGTTGTGAGGATAAAAATGCAGCAGACCCCATGGAAGATGGACCAGGTAACAACCGCAATCAAAAATGCGCATTTTGAGAGTTTTTTCCATTCCGTCCCTACATGCAGCATTTCACCAGAACCAGAAAAATTGAAAGAAAACATTGTGCTGGAAAGGGACCTGAATTGGAGCGATCAAGGTTCAAATCTTTGCCTCAGGCCATGAATCTCAGTCACTTCTGGGCAGTCACTTTTCTTAGGCTGACCTACCTTACAGGGCTGTGATACAAAACAGGGTGGGGAAACCTTGAACTACTATCAGCTCCTTGTAACTGTGGACAATGCACCCCGGAGAGGTTTGCCTGGGGCCCATGCTTCTTTCCTTCCAGCATCAGGTGAAAACTGTTTTATTCTCCCAATACTTTAATTGCTAATTTGTTTTAATTGGTAGTTTTATACTATCAGGTGTTGTGCCACTCCTACGCTTATGTCTATTTTTATTCTATTTTATTAATGGTGTTGTAAACCATCCCAAAACATCTGTAATGGGATGGTATAAAGAAACATAGAAACAGAGCAAGTCAGAAGGGGCTTCTAGGGCCATCTAGTCTGACCCCTGGCTCCAGCCAGCTCCACTCATGACATGCCTACCATATGCCTATCCTTGAACACCCGATGGTTCAACCAACTCCCATGGAAGTCCATTCCCTGCCCTTGGGGTCCTAACATCAGGAAGTATTTCCTGGCATCCAAACTGAACTGTGATTCCTTGAGCTTGGCTCTGTTGGAGTGCATCCCACCCTCCTCTGCAGGGGAGAACAGGTCTCTACCCAACTCCATGTGACACCCCCTCACATACCTGTATGTCACCAACAGATCCCCTCTGAGTCTCCTGAGAAGTTTTAAATCAATCAATAAAATGGTAGTAGGCTAGAGATCAGTGGAAAACCCTTAAGCTTGCCTTGGGCCTATCACATCAAGACTTTTCCCAAAGTGACTAAATCTAGACACCATAAACTAAACCCTTCGGTTGCCATCTTATATATGCTTATATAAATTCCCTTGAACACAGTGGGGCTTATGCCTGAATGAACCTGTGTAGAATAATGCTGCTATTTGAGTAACCAACTGATGAAGACTGGTTAAAATGTAATTTTAAAACCCTGGAAAAGAAGAGGAGGCAAAATACAGAACCCTTTTTCTTAAACTGTTCACAGTTCCACTGACTTAAAGGTCGGGCCAGGCAGATGCTGAAGGTGCAGCTCCCAGCGGAGGCTTACCTCTGGATTTTCTTCCACGATTAAGTCGAAACTCCATATTTCTGAAGCAAGGAACAGGAGGAGACAAGCCAGGTGCTTCATCCTCTCACCTTCTGAATGCGGCGAGTGTTTTGACCAGATGACAAATCTCTCTGCAGAAGCCAATTCAAGGAGCAGAGTGGGGAAAACAGCAACAGCTCTGTAATATTTTTCAAAGGTTCTTTAGAAATGCTAACTTTGTTCAGACTCGGACAAATATTTGCTCGGTAATGCAGGTGGGGGCACAGGGTCAGAGGCTGTCCAAACAGCGCCTTCTCTGGACTGGTATCTTCTGATAATGGCTTGGCCCTGGATAGGTTCCGTTTCTTTTTGCTTTGTAGTTTTCCCCCTGCGCCTTTGGACTGAATACCATGCAGAGGGGGCCGTGGGGTCAGCAGGTGGGGTGGAAGCTGAGCAGGGGCCAGAGGGAGAGGGAAAAACACAATACACATGGGAACACCAGGGAGGGTCAGCTTGGCAACGTCGACCAAGCGGTCTGCCAGAAGATGCCGACAAAGAAAGCTACCTTACGCTGGGTATAAAGCCACTGGTCTGGCGCTGAATGCCCAGCCTGCCAGCCCTGGTGAGGCGGAGAAGGTTCTCTCCAGTCCCATTGCTTGACAAGCTTTAGCCGAGCATCAAGCTTCTAGTCCTGCTAGTCTTCTTGTGCTCTTGGCATGTTATTGTCTCTGGGGAATGCATTGTGGGCACATCCTGTCGCTGCTGAGATAGACTTTGAACTTCTGATGACTTGCTGATGAAGTCAGCAGCCACCACAAACTCTTGGTGAAGCAGTGTCAGAAGAGACCCGGTCAAGAGATAAAGTTTAAGTGTGGTCTTCTGGTTAATTGCTTGCTTGGCATCAAAATCCACGGAATATGGACTTTTTCAGAAAAAGCCACCCCGCGTACTGCCGGTTGAGACTCCAGATTTTAATAAGAGGAATGTTTGGAGAAATGTAGAGAGTATGCAGAGCAAGGCAACTCTAACAGAAGGATTTGACTCGAAGGCCCCTGAAAGTTGGGTCTTACAGCCCTGGTCCACGCATTTCCAGCCTGTTATCCCATGGGATGACTGGGAAATAATTGCTGATCCGGGTGCAGCAGCCTCCATTTGACTGAAAGGGAATTGAGAACCAAGCTCCACCTCTCAGCTTGAGCTGGGATTTGAATGCCAACCTGTACTGCCCAAATGTGATACACTATTTTTATTATTATTATTATTATTAGAACATTTCTATGCCGCCCCTTGCCGAAGCCTCGGGGCGGCTTACAAACACAATAAAATACAATAAAATACAAAAATAACAATATAAAATTAAAATTAACAATATAAAATAAATAAAAATATAAAATATAAAAGAAGTCGCCCTGGCCAGATAAATAAGCAAATATTGTTAACAAGACTCTCAGGCACGGTTATTGCAAAGCTATTTATTCCAAAGTTTCAAGAGCTGCTGAGGGCACCCAAGCCCCCCCCCCC